GCGTCCATGTGTCCGGTGACTATACACCTATGTCCCTCCCGCCTGCCCACCTGACAGCCTATGAGAACGACACTCAACCGGCCTGACATACAAGTCGTAATACTCACATCACCTCGCAAGTCTCCCGACCGATTTTTGGACAAGCCAGCGTCGTCCATGGTTGATTTTGTTGTGGTTCCGGTGGGTGTAGCATTTCCAGAGACATCGTCGAGACAGACACTCGGTTCCGCTTGTTCTTGCTGCGCATAAACTGGAGACGTCTAGACAATCAGCGCAAATATGTTAGATGTGGCATCAACGTACAAGGCCATAGCATGAATGCGACCCAAGTTGATGCGAGACGTTCCAAGCTTCGCGCCAAAAACTCCAGGGGATCCGCGTTGTCTGGGGCCTGGCGGGCATCATCTGCGCAGGCACAGATGGCGGCAGAGACGTATCTCTTTCCCCGCTCGAGGCCGAGATCCTCCGCAGTGGCATACATTGCTTTTGATAAGGCCTCTCACCGTGAATTTCTGAGACAAGGCATGGCGCGTCACCCAGGGCGGAGTGTCGTGTTCGCTGTAACGTGGGTCGTTGAGAGCCTGAAGGTGGCGTTGGGCGCGAGCATACAGAGCGTCGTCTCTGTCGGATTCGCCTCTACTGTGGAGAATGGTCTTGACGGTGCTTGAAAGAGCAGAAGCCGCGTAGGGGTACACCTCGGTATAGCTCCTTGTTGAGGTCGGAGACGACGCGTTCGAGGAGCCTGATGGCAAGAACGTCAGACCAGGAGGCTTTTCCCCGCGTGTGTATGGCATTGCCATGCTCACCACAGTCGAGCACAGGATGAGAAAGACGGACTTACTTACACGGACAGAGCGATAGCTTGGGTCGCCAAGGTCCGAAAATGAGTTACAGCTGGTTGCGAAATTTATGCCGGCCGACTCTGAACAACGCTCGCGCACTTTCTGCATTGTAAAATGAAACAAATTCCATAAATTGCCCTGCACTATCAAACACCTAGACCACAAGGTATTCGACCCTTCTGGGTCCATAAGAGCCTGAAATATTATGAACAAGGGTGATCCACGACGTTCGTAGAAGGCTCTTTGCAAGGACCTCACGGGCGCTACTTTGAGCAGGTAGGCTGGAGCGAACAGACAGGCTCTCAAGAATGGAAGAGACAGAATCTGGACAGCAATTCACCTAAAAGACAGTGTCGATGGTCCGTATAGGCTATTACAGACAGCTGCGTGGCAAGGGTGCTTCGAGAAAGCTGGAACTAGATGCTACTCAAACACTGCCTCTGTCGGCATTGCATAGTGTTGATGATGTGTCTGCTGACGAAGTTCGCACTGGAAAGGTATCAAGAGCACCTATAAATACTTTTTTTATAGATATCAGAGCGGGGAAATGACATTGAAGTCCATGAGAGTTACGAAGATATGCCGATGTCTGAACCTCTTCCGGCGCTTGATGCGCTGGCAGGAGGCAGACTACCGCTCAGGGCTAAGAATGTGTCAGAATCTTCCTGTAAGCCCACAAAACCTAGTCTGATCAGCCGTAGAATTCTATAAGATACGTTTCAAGGCGGTGCGCAGATGGCTGAGTGAGAAACCTCGGCGCCCATAGGAAACTTTCAGTGATTTCCCTCGAAGGGCATAAGTCGGGAACCAGGAGTCCGACGCTCTCCATTCAAGTTCGTGAAGTCTCATACTCACTTGTATAGAGGTTATATACAGTTCATAGAGCACAGGGGAACGGAATGGCGGGTGCATGAATTATTTGGTTTTCTCGATTTCTTTGATTTTCTCGTGGTCGAAATTGCGTCGGAGTTGGTCGGGCATAAATTTCGCAACCAGCTGTACTTCCATGTACGACGTATGTGTGCGCTTGTTGACGACATCAACGCTGCCGTCATCCAAGACCTTCCGTCCACCATGGTTCATCGCCGTGCCTCGCTGCCCAATAACACATCTTTGAGTCTTCTCTGTGCGACCCGGTCACACTACCTGCTCGTCTGGTCCTCTGCAATCACTGGTTCAGTAGTTTGCTCTCCAGTCAGGCGTTCGCTCGGATTATCAAAGGATTCCACCGCTGCAGCCGTCGTCTGCTTTCGCAAATCTTCACAGAAAGAAGTCCCTCACACTTCAAGACTGCAACATACTTAGGATTCCTGGGCTGAGTGGATAATTCGAATTGACTCTAGAACGAAGACACGGAGGGTGTTGATGAGTGGTATTTGTGCAGTGATGGTACGTACGTCGTCTAGGTCCTCTTGCCGCGACCCGACCGAGCAATCTGCTTCAAGTTGGCACATGAGGCCTTCTGTCCCTCCAGATGACATGGTGTCGGGTTACTCATTGCTTCGCCCTTGGTGTCGTCGTTCATGGCGATCATGTCTCGGCGGGTGAAGATGGTCTTCGTTTGTGACGGAAGGATCTGGGGTAGAGGACATTGCTCTTACGCGTGTACTACCTATATTTCTGTCCGCTACTGAGCTGTATGCTGTCGGTTTAGACCATGGTGAGCTATCCACTCTCAGACATTTATCTCCTTCTCGCTTCGCTGTTTTCTCTCCGCAGGTTGCTCACGCTGCGCCGCACATGGCCCCTTAAGCCTTCGAGCCAACCATCCTTTACTTACGCACCTGGTTGCAGGCTTATTTAGATCATTGTGAAGCAGACACAGGATAGAAAGTCGCTATGCTGGGACTTACGACCGCACCTCTTGTGGCTGGTGGCTCGCCCAGTCGGAACCGATTAGGAGCCGTGTCCATCTACTAGGAGCCATTAATCGACTCGCCATTCATTCCATCGCTGCGTGGGCCACGTTTCCGATCTCATGCCACCGGTCCTGCAACCAACCACGCCTCTCGCACGAGTCTCAGGTATCATCATATCATCGACAGCCACAGACATTCATGTATATGCATGGGCTCAAGATTTGAAACTCACATGAGGATAGCGTATCCCCACTCCTATTGCACTTGCTTGCGCGAGAGGACAAAGTCAGAGGATCTGAGGTGCGTGCGCGGCACAAAACACCGCGCCGAGTGGGGGAGACGCCTATGCGAAGCTCAGCGTTGGTCCTCGCTTCGTCTATGTCTTAAGTGTGTATATGCCACCGCAAGGCACATACATGCGCTTCTCACGTGTTCTCAACAGGTCTTCGAGGGCTGTCCTGGCCACTTCGAGCCTTACTCGCACATCCAGCGCCAGCCTCCTCATTCTCGACCCTCCTTCAATAGTAGCAATCTGGTCATGCTGTCTTCCGTTCCTCTCGACACCTTGTGCCCCAGATTTACGATCGCTATGATAAATACTCTAGTGAGTCCCGTGTTATTGGCGAGTTGCCTCTCTCAGCTATGAAAGTCAAAGTGGCTGCCTAACAGGACCTCCGAAACATGAGGAAACCTCAATGATTGCTTGACGGTAATGGGCGCGAATTGAGCAATTACCGAGCTGACAGCCTTTCATTGCAGTGCTTCGAACGGCGCAGAGAGCCTGTGTACAATGTAACCCGTCATGAAACACACCGCGCACGACTAACAGCCCACCACGATGCTGCGAAGTATGCCTGGCCCATACAACGCATCTGCGCAGCTTACGTGAAGTAGGCCTTCGCTCGATAGATAAGTGTTTACTAGCAGTGCTGCTTGGTTCCCCATAGACCTTACAGAACTCTGTCACGACGTCGCTCTTCCTCATGCCATTGATCCCCAACATCTCCGTTTCCGATGTCGTCAAGCCCGCTTCCCGCTTCCAAGGGGTTATCGAGGCGCCCCTCCAGGATGGTCGATTCACGCTTGCCTTTCAGGTGTCGCAGGATTCTTCGGTGGTGATAGTGCGGTCGCCGGTATGGCCACCGCCAACCTCATTCCAAACCGTCGCTGGGGTGGGATGTATAACACCCCTGGTAGTTACGAGATCGCCAAGCAGTACGGTCCGCTGGCGAACTCGAAGCTTTGCGACGGCCTCTGGCCCGGTGGGGAGCGCGACCCCACGAGGCTCTTCGGGATCGACGGCAAGGACGGCCCCCAGTTCATCGCTGTCCACTCCGGCTCGAACTTCTCGCGCACAGGCCACCTTGGGTACCTCATCGCGAACAAGGCGCGTCGTCTGCGTCCGACGAGCCACCCCGTCCGTGTCAAAGGCCAGCGGAGGACAACGAATCCGAGCGTCACCATCGTGAACCTCCAACGAGTGCCCGAAGGAGAGATTGAGCACCCACAATTGCCGTCTCAGTGGAGTCACTCGGTGTACTTCGCGCTCTTTCCGACACTCGTCAGCGTTATCGGCTGCGTCGTATGCGCACTCGTTGCCGACTGGTTCTGCTTCGCGAGCATCGCACTTGGCATCGTCGCCAACGGCTCCGCTTGCTATGTCATCGGCTCCGGGAAGCTGACGTTCAAGCACCACAGCCCTGCGAAGGGCGCTCCCCCTGGAGATGGTGTGCTGAAGGGCGATACGGAGGTGGTCGTGCTCATCGGCAACGAGAGCGCAGTGAGCGCCTTCACGCGCGGCCGTTTCCTCCTTCAGTACCGAGGGCAGTCAGCGTCAGAGCAAGCGTCGCAGGACGAGAGCGATAGCGACGAGCCCCAGCAGGAAGAGAGCTTGCAGTCTTCAACGGCCGAATCGCCTGAGAAGCACACGCAGCCGGCGTCGGAGCAAGCGTTGCCGGACGAGAGCAATAGCTGCGAGCCCCAACAGGACGAGAGCAATAGTGGCCAGCCCAGACAGGCCGAGAGCTCGCACCCTCCAGTGGCCAACCCGCCCGAAAAGCATACGCAGCCGACGTCGGAGCAAGCGCCGCAGGACAACGGCGACCGCGTCGAGGCCCAACGGGGTGGGAGCAATAGCGGCAAGCCTCAACAGGATGAGAGCTTGCAGCCTCCAGTGGCCGACCCGCCCGACAAGCATACGCAGCCGACGTCGGAGCAAGCGTCGCAGGTCAACGGCGACCGCGTCGAGGCCCAATGGAGTGACAGCTTGGTGTCCAGCCCACGCAAGGACCAGCCCGATCACTGGATCCCGCAACAGTTCTGGATCGCTCCTTGTGCCTTCCTTCTCATGATCCAGTTCCTCGCTCAGCTGCTCCTCATCCCGCAAGGCACGCTTTTTGGGCAGGTCATGTTCGTCGCCACTCTCTTCGTGTCGTGGTTGTACAACACGTACCTGTCTTCCATTGATAGCGAGGAGATCCAGACTCTGATCCTCTTCGACGTCTTGAGGATCAAGGAGCAGGACGACATTCAGAAGTACCAACTCAGCACGTGGACAGAGACAGTCACCTTCACTTGCTTAGTGCTCGTGTTGGTCGATGGCATCAAGGACCCCCTCGCACTCCTCGACGGGCTGATGCCGAACAAGACCGACGTTTGGAAGGCGTGGAAAGATGCCTTAAAACGCAAGCTTTTGCAGCGTAAGGGGCTCTTGAATGGTAGCGTGCCATTCGCGTTCACGAAGGAGGACTCGAATGTAGCAGGTCTGAGCGAAAACGATTGTGAACTTTTGTGGACCTTTTTACAGGATGCTAACAATGCTTGCAAGACCTGGTTGGCAGTTCGGAACTGTCGTCAAATGACCCGTATCAGGAGGCACATCCCCTCTGCTAGTACGAGCTGATGTAATCGCTGTTCTTGTGCTTTGTGATGGACTTGCGATGCGTTTAGTCGCCAATGGTGCTCATTACATCCTCTTCGATATCTCTGTGCTCCAGACCGTGAAAAGCTGACTTTGCTCTCTACTCGCTCGCATGTCTTAGTTACATTACATGGCATACGGAGGCTTGTGCAGATAATGCCATGTATGCAATACCTAGTACATTCAAGTCAGTCGCACTTGTGTCTGGGTGACTCGACATGGACGGAGCGACCCGAACCATACACGCCACCGCTCGACAGAAATATTTCGACGTCTAAGGTGACATCTCTTATTCCCTCACACACGCTTAGGCCTAACACCCACGACAAGCAGCCGGGAGGAACGGGCCGTGAGGACAGTGACCCCCTCCGCACGTGATCTTGACGCGTCATCGGCGCCTTGTTAGCCTGACCTCTGGCTTGCCGTTAATGATGCTGGCAGCAGCCAAGAGCAGCCAAGATTAATCTTGGCTGCTGCCAGCATCGAGTACTCCTCGGCTGGCTTCTCCAACCGATTTTTTGCTCAACACAGTCCGCGGACGGAACGACCTCACCTTGAACTATGCACGCAACTGGTCGACCGCTATGACACCTGTTCTAAGTCTAAGATGACATCTCTTCTGCCCTCACACACGCCTAACGCCCGCGCTTGCCCTCATCCCGCTATCCTAATCGATGTCCTCTCACCGTTGGCACCACGTCCATGACCTGATGAGATCTACCACCTCTTAGGACTTTTAGCTTCTATAAACATCCCGTCGCACATGAAGCTCATCGCAAAGTGCTCGTGCAGTTCCTGCTCGACAACTTGACCTCTCTATACCGCCATGACCCCCGAACGCAGCGCAGCCTCGGGCGGCGCCAAGTCCGCCATTTCCAGGGTCAACGATAAAGGTATAGGGAAAGGCGGCCTCAAGTCCACCCGCGTCACCGCTGCGGAGGGTCAGACAGGCCGCCTCGCCGTCGACCTTCTCGTCAACGACGAAGACTACTCGAGCAAGTACGAGGGACTCACCGCCCTCGTCTTTTAGTGCGTGCTCGAGGAGTACGACACCGTCAAAAACATCGTCTACGATCTAAACGACGAGGAGATGCTCGTGAAGAGCATGGAGCATATCAATACGTGCCTACTCATCCTTCCTGCGCGCAAGGTACGTTCGCACGTTCTTCGTGTATGCAGGAGACGTGTGCACTCCAGCGGATTGCTGCGCTCCTTACGGGCCCTTGCTAGTGTAAGAACAACCTACATAGTGATGGACACGGGTCGGGTCCACCCGCCTCACGTCCGGGCATATACCTGTGCGGGTACGGATTCGGTCAACCCGACCAAAACCCGTACCTGACCGAGCGTATCCGTGGACACGTCGACGGGTGATTACAGCACGACAGTTCGTTCTGATCTCTGACCGTCACCGCTGCGGAGTTATGAGAGGGGCGCCCAGTTCTCGCACTGGTGCTGCTGTACTCTTGACAGCATCTCTGGAGATCGCGACAAGCAGATAGCCATGCTGCCACCTCATCCCAACGTACGGGTCACCCGACCTCGACTCGTACCCGACCTACTCGGGTACGTACCCGCGCGAGTACGGGTACGGGTCAAGTCAAAACGCGCACGGGTAGACCCATGTTCATCCCTCGACTTATATGGCCCGAGGCGCATATGCGCGCTTTCGACGGAGAGTGTAGTCCTCCGCCTGTCATCTTGTCTGCGTATTATCCACCCCTCACACGTCTCTCACCCAACCTTATTCCGCTGGACAAAGCTAACATTCACGCGCACCCTCCTCTCCGCCACGCGGACCGCCAAAACCGTCACCAACCTCGTCCTCCTCTCCTCCGCCGGCGCCGAGCACGCCGATCCAACCACACAACCGCGCCTGCACGAGTCGATCGCGCTCGAGGCCCTCGCCCTCCGGCCTAAAGGCGAGACCGCGGCAGGCGACACGGGCCACAGCCTGTGCGTCATCCGCGCGGGGCTCTACGCGGAGAACCTGCTGCACTACACGCAGGAGGCGCCGGGCGCGGGGACGCCCCAGATCCCGATCGGGGAGAGACATAAGTTCGCGCCGGTCGCGTTCAGGGACGTCGCGCAGCTGTTGGCGTACGTCATCACGAACGCGGGGCTGCACGGGCTAGGGGACAATGTGCGGGGTTAGGTGTTGGTCGCTACGGGTGAGTGGGACGCGGCGAAGGTTTCTACGTCGGTTGGTCGCCCACTGATGTGTGCGTGCCTCGTGTAGGTCCGCAGCTTGTGTCCGGGGACGAGCTCGGGGTGGTGGCATCGCAGGCGCCCGGGACGAATATGGAGTTTGAGCTCATTGACGAGTGCGTGCGCCACCCCCTTTGTTTTGTGTCGGTTCTGGCATCTGATATGCTGACTTCAATCAGTTTAGGGAGACCGCAAAGATAATCCTGAATACTGATCAGGGCGCAGAGGTTGATGAAGGTATGCATAAAGCCACTCCTCGGTGTGTACCTGCGTTGATCCAGACACGACGGGCTACCGCTCTAGCTGAGCGCGAGTACCTGCTCGAATACTACTCCCTCGCGCGCGAGGGCAAGACGAACAACACGGCGACCACCGCGTTCCTCGCATACTTTGGCCGCCGCGGCCAGGAGCTGACCGAGTTCTTCCAGACGTATGCGGTGTGTCCCGTCTCGCACCCTCGCCCCTCCCTTGGATGCATACCGAAGGGCGCGTGGTGGGAGGAGTTCAGGCCGAAGAGGCGCAAAGTCGCTGGTGGGGGTGAGCCGGTAGCCAAGCGGGAGCAGCCCGCGAGGGCCCGCGGTGGCAATGCCGCAGGAGTGAAAGTAGAGGCGGCGGAGGATGGAGATGAGAATGACGATGACGAAGGCATGACCGACGAGAGTGTCGTGAAGGAGTCGAGGAGACAGACGGTCACGAAGGGTCTGTAGGCTTTCGTAACGCTGTACTGTGGCTCGCTCACGTGCGGTCATTTCTCTAGGAAAGTTGGAATGGACGTCGTCGACGTTTGGACGTGCTAACGATATGGTGTCTTTGTATTGGTCGGTTTTTAACGGAAGGAGTCGTATTTTGCTGATATCGTTTTTCTAGTCCATCCACTACGGTGAGACTCACATCAAACACCGGATAGTTTTGGCTCAGGGCTCCTCGAGTCCTGTGAAGTTGTCGGCGTCGGTCCTGCTTGCTGGGTGCCGTCACCGCCGAAGCGCTGACGCACCGTCCTAGACTTTGAAGTAGAGAAAGTGTCTCTCACACTGCGTTCCACTCTAGACCATTCGACTTTCGTCTTCGATATACCTCCGTTCTCAATTCGCCAACAAGTTGGCTGGTGTTCAGAAGTATTTATTGAACGAACCTCTCGCCGCCCGCGAAGCACGGGGTACTGCTTGCTCCTCGAGGCTTGCGCCCGGTCCATGGCGCTGACCGCCCATCTTCTAATGGTGCTCCTATCGCGGACGATCGCTTCTACCACGCTGTAGCTCGGCCCTTCTGACTCAATCGACAACGGCTACCTTGTAGATGTGCTCTGCTTTTTGTGGACACTCGCCCCATGGTGATCAAGTTCAAGACGTCTCACAGTCGCCGAAGCACAAGAGAAGGTTAAGTGGATCATGTCGACCGCCAGATGAGCATCGTGAAAGCGGGCTCGTGCAAATGGCGGTGTCTTCCTCTGCGCCTTGATGCATAGGTACGTGTATTCGTGCCTTCTCACGTCCGAATGTCCATATGAATGCTCCTAACTGTTCAAGCTCCCTACACCCAATTCTACACTCTCCGTTCGTGCTATGGGTCGTTCTGAACCTCCATGGGAAGTGTACGCCACAGCGCTGTTCCCGCAGGGGTACGGCTACCCTCTGTGGCATCCTCAGCCCACGTACGACTCCTCTTTCGGGCTTTACGAGGTCGAGATCGGGTCAGTCGGCTGGATCCACGAAGGGCGGTTCCCTCAGCTGTTCAACGCGCGGAAACCTAGAGACGACCCGATCAACGTCGGGAGGGTACCCGAGTCGTTCGAGCACTTCAGTCCCCCGAACATAATTGAACCGACCCCTAGACCTGTGATCGTGAAGCCATTTGTCACGTCCCGCTATATTCGTATTCCCTCCGTCGAAGTCGAAGGTCTATCGTAAGTGACTTGGTCATCCCGCTTTGCCCCTTCTCTGATATGGAGCGATTGACTATGTGAAATTAGCACAATCCCCAATACGTTGATGTCTGTGTCTGCTGAGGAAAGCCTCTCCTTTAAGTGCAGCACGGGCACTGGCGCCTTACTCCTGCTCGGACCCCCTGCTATGAAGTGTGCGCTCAGTCAGAGGCGACACATCGTGAACTACCTGCGCAAGCATGTAGACGCCTAGCACACGCACACCGTCGAGCACCTCGGCATGGACGTCAGCCTCGAAGAGCTCAGGTTCGTTTCCGGGAAGACCAAGACCAACAAGTGGGCGTGCGCGGCGATCTCTGGGCCCTACAAACACAAGAGAGGCACCGCCCACGTCGACATGGGTAGCGGGCCTGCGCCTAAATTGTCCATCTCCATTGCAGGCATGCAGCTGCCCAACGTATGGACAAACTCCGGGCCCGTCCTAGGACTACTTTCACGGGTAGACTCTCCTGCGGCTACGGGTCCGCAGGAGAGGAACCAGTGCATATTCATCAACTACTTTGCGGTAAAGAAGAGGCTGTTCTTTCCGCGCGTTGTGCGTGCTGCTGCTGGCCCGCACGAGCTTCCTCCCGGAGCTCCTGGGCCAGGAGAACAGGGACCGTCTGCCGTCCCTGCAAGACGGAAGAATACGGGAGATAGTGCTGGAAGGTCTCAGCATCCCTCCGCTCCAGTATGCTTATCAGAAATCTCCCGGTGCACGGTTTCGCTGACCATGCTAGCAGGGATCCCCTTCATACGATCCTGTCGGCCAATTGCTTGAATATATCCTTGAGGTGGGAGACGCGGCTTGTTTCCGTCTTCAGGGGTATGTAATTCATTTTTAGCGATCCGACGCGGACATGGCTATTGCCTCCGATGTCGACCTCATTGCGATCTTTGGTGTCAGTCGCTCCGCTGTATTCCCTGCTGAAAACGGACCTGACTGGTTTGCATGTCTAGACGTCTGTAATTCCAGAAGACATACTCACAGGGCTGGTCCACCGCCAGCCCTCAATAGAAGTCGATGAGCACGGCGGTGTGTTGCCGTCTTTCTGGCCGGCATCAAATTTGTTATGACATTTTATTATGGGGACAGTGGGAACTATCTCAATGGACCTCGACATGGGTTCACCAGAGCAGCCATTCGTGTCAAACACCGCCGCGTCGGTGGTTATGGAAGAAATTGTCTCCGATCCTTGCCGTGAGTCAGGTCTGTAGTCATGTCTAGGCATTGTGCTCATCGTCTGAATGACTGACAGATCCCCCTACACCTACAGAGCTGCATACGAATGCGGAGAGGAATGCCTCGGCTTCCTCTCGTGCATTGCGACTTCGGTACGGTGACTGGACAGAGGCGGAGGGTGATCACAGGGTTGTTTCGACACTCCATGCATGGCAAAAGTTCTTGTGCGAGCCTGGACTTCCTAACAACCATGCCGCATCTGTCCTGCACAGGTTGAATAGGTTTCCGGATCGCCATGCTTGCGCACGCCCCGCGTTTGAAAACCAGATTGTGGACGGCGGAAGTGCCCGCGTGCTCGTCGAATGAGCTAACAACTGCCGACACTGCACTGTTTTCTGAGGGTTTGAAGAGTAGCGTCTCGAATCTCAGTTTTGACATCACCTGTGGTGTACACTGTACAGATCTAGGACGGTTGAATGTATCATCTCAACGTCATTCCTATGTATTCATGTATTCTCGACACTAGTATCTAGGTCACAGCGATGACGTTTGACTGAAGATCACCTCTTGACAAAAGCGATACAATAGGATGACTGGGCTACAACTACTTTGGCAGAGCGGCACAACAGAGCGGCGACACCAATGGACATGTGTGGATACTGAATATGAGTACCACGAGAATGGAGGCAAGGAAAGAAAGAAGGGAACCGTAAGTCGATATACATTCCCACAAAGCAAATGGGAGAGAATGGAATTGGCTAGGGTGGAGTGCGAGCGCGACAGATGTCGAGAGGATAGAGTAGAACAGATCGGGTCAGCAGGGGAATACATCAGGACATAACGATAGAAAATCAAGCAGGAGAACGTGAGGGAAAGGGTGGCATACGGCGGGACGAGTAAAAAGTAGAAGCGGTATCGATGCTTCGGATGAGGGAGACGAAGCGCGCTTGCGCGGGTTGTGACGCCGAGGGGGGTCGCATCCGAACGAGCGGCTGGTGAGCCGACCTCTTCTTGAGGGAAAATACGCCTAGACGTTGGTTGTCCCAGCCCCTGTAGAGTCTAATGACCTATAATCCCAGACAACATGAGTACCCGCGCTTGGCATATGGACAGGTCGACAAGAGGAGCTGAGACTCACGCTGTCTGCAGATACGCTGGTGCCGCAGCGCGGCATCCTGTCGACTGTACGATCTTCTGCAAAACCGGCACGGCGTTTTTGCCTTGAGGTGTTTGGACACGAAGTGCCGGCTGATAACCTGTGCGGTCACCCCGGTTTCGCCACACCCCGCGACCTGGCACACTCTTTGAGCAGATTCATAGTGCGCCATGAGGTGTGTGGTGGCCCCATTGGGATTGTCACGGTACAGCAGTCGCGCGCAGCCGTCGAATGGACAAACCATGCCGTTGTCTCCCCCTGCCTGTGTCTGTGTCTGTGCCTCTGCTGCTGTCTGTGCCTCTGCTTCTACCGTTTCCCCTCCCTCTTCCTCCGCTGCCAAGGCCTGCTCGGAGCTGATCTCGCCCGCTTCCAGAGCGTCGGACGTGGTAGGGAGAGCCGGCGTCGATAGGCCGGCGTGAGGCGACGATGGGGGACTAGGCAAGATGGAGTTGCCAGCGAAGACAGACCACGAGGCGTTCGAAGAGGACTCAGGCCCCGTTCCTTGTCCCACATTGTGAATCGGAGAGAAGGCTGTCCTAGCACGTTTCCTAGGCGGAGGCTGGCATTCACCGTCGTCGTTGTCGCCATCGTCTTCACCGTCGTCTTCGCCGTCTTCTGGCCTACCTCGCTTGGCCGGGCCGATGGGGAGATACGTCAGCTGCACCAAGGTTGCAGACCATCGGGCATCCGTCCCATCGCGATTGCAAATGACGAGCGGCAACTCGACAACCTCTGTCCCGAAAGGCGAATCTACGACTAACGGTATGAAGATCAATTCACCCAAAGTGAAATCCTCCATGTCCCTGTCCGAGACTCCTTCGAGGTAGCAGGGACACATCCATTCACCGCCATGCTCACGGCAGAGGACGATGAAGATGGGTGGATCGGAGAGGTGTCGTGAAATCACAAACTCTAACCCCATACTGGATGGCAGAGGGAAGGTATGCGAAAGAGGCGGGGGGGAGGTCGATGGGCAAGGGAGAAGGCTGCAGACGAGGAGGGGGGCCAGAGTGCAGCCACTGATGTAGCGGACGCGGCGAGGCGCGTAAACATACGCAAACGACGCGGTGATGTTCTGGTCGCGGCAGGTACCGTGACCGTTTGTTCTCGTAGAGGTCCACGCGTCGACTATTCCCATTCTGGGTCAACAATGGGAGTCAGACCCACTTCGCTACCTGCGGAGACATCCTGCGTGAGACAAATCGTTAGCCGTAGGTGTTCAGCAACATGCCCTTTTGCGCTCGTCTGTGTCCCCGCCTTGAAGCCTTCATCTGAAATCTCTTCGTTTGGTCCTGCGCTGCCCGTAACCACCGTCGACCACGGCCGCAATCACAGAAATTATCGGTTGAAATCAAACAACATGTCGCCACGAGGCGAGCAGAGAACATTCCGCTCACTCACGAAACAACTACTCGCACAACTGCATACTGGACAAGCGATTGTACGGGGACGATGGACGAGACGAGGTAGTTGAGACGGTGCGTGCCCGACTTGTATCCCCTCGGCTATCTGCCCTTTGGGACAATTTGCACCGGTGAAAACTTATATCTCCGGCCGCAACACGAGCAGCGGGGGGAAGACGATTATTGGGACGACTTCCCCTCGCTACTGCTCCGCCTGCGAAGCTAGAGAACCACGCTGAGCGCCGAAAAGTCCGCGCTCACGTGTCCTGACCAAGCGCCCGTTCTCGAGGGCGTCGCACCTTATGCTCTGCGATATTCATCCCAGACTGCGTATTGTGACTGACCTCGAAAAAGGAGGTTATCAGTCGAATCTGATGAAATACGCACATTCTATGGGGCTATCGGCGCCTGTACCGGGTGGACGCATGCGCACGGGCGGTGGACGTCGCATAGGCCGAAGGTGCAACGCAATGTCTGCGGCAATTCTGACAGGTTAGAACTCGTGTCAAAAACGATCACATGCAATCATTACAGCTGATTGGAATGGGGGACAAGTACTGCAGCATAGCGAGCAAGAGGCTACTCGAGCAAATCCTCCATGGACGTCGAGACTTCCGGGGGCATCCCGTGTGCTGCAGGGCTTTGGTTGACCTTTGCGTCCGCCGCAATTCACCAAAACCTCGGTGCTGATTCTCTGTCATATCCCTTCAGATTTTGTCTCCAGCCTCTTCGTTCTGGTCCAGCGGCACTGGTAACCACGGTGGACCGACACGACAACCACCCATGCCGACAGATCACAAAATCCAAGCTCCATCTGCAGTCAGCGCAGAGACAGTCCTGACGCCATCCACGCCACTCCTGAATCTAATCACTCACTGACCGCCGTTGCTGCTCGATGACTGCAACAGGCGGACCGCATAGGTGATGTGATTATGTGCCCAGGACGTACGGCGTCAGCATCCAGGCCATGTCGATGTCCGGGAAACAGGCAGTTCCATTGCACGTCGTTCGACGAGTAGCTGCGGGAGGAAGTATCCGAGGATGGTCTCCACCGCTACTCGTCGACGATTGTGGGCGTGAAGCTCGAGACTGGTGCTAAGCGCCTTTCCCACACGGACGTGGACAGCGTCCACGAAGGACGTTTCTCGGGCATACCATCAATCGGAGCCCAACAGGGTCTCATAAAGCAATATGCAATCTATTCCTCGGGTCTGCGGCACATTGGCACACCCAAGAGCCCGACAGTGCTTGATTCCATGACACGTGGAAACTCACCGGAGGAGTGCATCGCTGTGAGAGAGGTGCGCATGTGTAGCACGGGGCGCAGCCAAGCAGCCAACGGCGCGACGCAAGTGCTGCAAGGTTTTGATTACATCAGGGCATGTACTTTGTGGTACTGGACTCTTCCATACCTGACTCTAATGATTCTAGGGCGACGATGCACCGTAGTATTGCAAGCCGAGGGATGTATCTGGAGAGGGTGCGCGCGATTCGCCGCATTTCATCGCATCCTACAGTATGCCGTTCTTCTCTCAGAATGGTCGAAGCTTACCTGTGTGGCTAATGACCTGTTCGGAACAGAGGAGGCCGCCCTGTCCTAGGCCGGGGAATAGACCACTTGAGCGAATGCTCGACAGACCGGGTGGACCAACAGTAACATGGAGGTCTTAACACGAGAGCTCTCTGAGGCCTCATGTTCCGTCATGTACGGAACAGGCGGTATACTGTCCCTAGACGTTATGTGCCCGCGCAGCGTGGAAGGTCTGTACCATCGAGAATCTGTTACAACCAATGTCCGACTACGTCAATAACTAGTTGAGAGCATAGTCCATCAGGAGTAGTACCGATATCGCACACGATAGTTGAGCCCACGCAGGGGGCCGACTGCCCGAGGCAGTTATCTGGGAATCGCTGTCTGGAGCTATTTGATCGTTCCCGATCGCTGCAAAGGATAGTTGGGGCCGGATTCGAGGCGCGGGAGCCCTCCCATTGCACATCTTGCCAGGTAGAACGACTGCAGCCTAGCCAAGCATACTCGAGCTCCGCACAAAAGAAAGCCGTCTTATAGGAGAAAGAGAAGATACTTGAAGACTCACACCTCAGCGCGACAACGGCGACGGCAGTGTTTGGCGCTCGCCCGCTATGGCAACGCAGCGATGTCGGCATCGACGTCTCTTCCGCCCGCTTGCCATCTTCATTTTTTGCTCGTTGGCGAGTTTTGCTTGTGCCGCCTAATCACACTACGTGCTCGTCTGTCTGCCTGCCGTAACTTGTCTCGCATTCTAGTCGAGTGGTCCCCGAACGATCAATAACTTTTGCTGCTGCTGCCGTGACCAGCAAAAGGTGCTGTGTGGAACATGCCAAACTCTTATGTGGACGGAATCCGACGGATGGTGTAGGGCAACCACGAACGGTTGACCTGAAAGAAGTGTGGTATCCTCACGGACAGCGACAAGCTGCGCGGAGTCTCGATGGGGAAGGGGCAGGCAGTGGATGAGGTTCTCCGTGCTCTGCGTTAGCATGGTACGTGATGTAGTGCTGGATCCCAGCTCCGTCAGTCACTGTGCTCGCGCGAACACCAAGCTTGTCCCGCTGCGCGCGAGTGGGCTGATGCCGTCAATGGAGGTTGGGGGGAGGAGCACCTCCGGGCTCTACAGGTGTTCGTAAGCTTCATCTGTGTTGTTACAACTGCACTTGGCGTTCACTTGTGAGGTGTCTGTCGCTGCTGGTCGCCCTCTGTGACAGGCCGTTAACCTCTGGTTCATGGGATTTGAATGAGAGCCTGAGCCTCGGAAGCCTTTGCAATCCTCTCATGTATTCCTCGCTCTCGCCTGCGTATGGGGTCAGCGCCCGCGATCGAGTGCGGAACGCTCATGTTCATAACACTGTGGCCAGTGGCCGAGGGCCCAACTAGTTGAGGGCCGCCCAGTCAGAAGCGTTTCGCCTGTCCACGACGGCGCAACATAGTACCGCATATACATAGAGCTGGATGCGATTCGTCCATCAGTCGAATTTAGTCTGTCCAGTCGTCGATATGATCGGCGCAGCGTAGCATAGAGTCGCATTTACGCTTTCACTTTGGATGTCATCCTGATCGCGACGCTCTGTCGCGAGGCGTGCAGTGCGGGAGGTGAGCAGTCCATCTTTTGGCACACATTGCCGAGTCATCTGCGCTTCGGGATTCTCGGGGACCACGATTACACACGCGATAGAGGGCTACGTCAACCGTCTTACGGCCTGTGACTTATGTGCCGTTGAGACGGGTATGTACTTTTCATACCGCATCCACTCGTTATATAGCCGATGTACTAACGCCCATGGAGGGAAAGAGCAAAGCATGCGTCGGAAGGATATGTATGTCCTTTGGGATACGCGAAGAGCACAGTATTCAGGTACTCGCTCAATCAAGCTTTTGGCATTTTTGCTAATACATCACTACATGAACAGCTTCGACTTCTCCGGCTTTGGAAGATCGGCGTCCTTTCCCGCAAATCAAACCCCACGTGTTCTCACAAACCCGTCGTTCACCCTCTCCGTTTGACACGATCGCAGAGTCACCGACCTCGTCCGAACGACGTTCCCTCTCCGCGTCCCGACTTGATGAACGAAGCCAGCTGACGACGACCTGCTTTTTCAGGTTTGCTGACTAAGTAGGTGTAGGGCCCGGTGTCTCGGCAATGTCGCTCGTCATCTGAACACGGATATGTGGAAGGCTTTGTCTATTCCCATGGCAGAGACAGGATTGGTCCCAGGCTCGCGTGCGGGGTCATGTGCGGTAATCAATCACGGCGTACGGCTCACGGATGCGCGAGATGCCAGTCTGTCCGACCCGTTATATACCCCATGGTCGGACAGCTCTCAGGTCACACCGCCATGGCTCCTGTCTCCACTCCTTGGAGTGTCCGCCTTCTAGGCTGGTCTGCTTTGTCCATGCTGCTCGCGTCGACGACGCAAGCGGCATCACCCACAGTGAAGGTGAACGGGACGAGCATCGTAGGGAGCTCACAGGCTGTCGGTGGCCTCATCGGCGTCGACTTTTTCGGAGGTGAGTATCCTAGCGTCTATGGTGACCCGGGAAGGAGTCACTGACGGGTCTTGTGGTATTCTTCGTTTACGCAGGGATTCCGTTTGCGAAACCGCCATTGGGTGAATTGCGCTTCGCGCCACCCGTGGAGATCGACACCCTCGGTGTGCCCACGTTCAACGCCACAGAGTTCGGCGCGCCTTGCGTGCAGTTCAATGTCAGTCTTGTGTCTATGCAAGCGAGTGTTTATTGACTAAGACGTCTACCTACCAGCTTACGGGCGTCTCGGAGGACTGCTTGACGTTGAACATCTACCGCCCTTCCGAAGCTCTGCTCCCTACAAACGCCTCGGTTCCTGTGCTGTTCTGGATCTACGGGGGCGGCTTTCTCGAAGGCGAGACGTCCATCTACGACGCGACCGAGATTATTGTACAGAGCGTCTTGAGGGTGTGTCGCACCCATGGATGTCCTGACGATGTTGTTAGTCTGATTGTGCTGCTGTAGGGGACACCGATCGTATACGTCAGCGTGAACTACCGCGTGGGGCCCTTTGGATTCCCACAAGGCACGGAGGCTGCCCAGCTTGGAGCATTGAATGTCGGACTGAAGGATCAGCTTGCGGGGCTGTCGTGGGTGCAGAAGCACATCAGCGCGTTTGGAGGCGATCCTACAAAGGTATGCGTCATCAAAACGATATGCTCCCTCAGAATCAGTCACTCACCTTCATCTCCGTAGGTCACGATATTCGGACAGAGCGCTGGTTCCATATCCATCGCACAGTTGTATCTTAACTCTGGCTTAGAGAAATATGGTGTACGAGGTGCAGTGAGTACCATTCCGCTTTCCCCTGCGTACGACGTGCTCAGTATGTTCTCGTAGATCTTCGAATCGGGTTCTGCTGGGAGCTTGCCAATCTTTGACGCCTCCCGCCGCGAAGTCGTGTGGGACTCCTTCGTGGGCAACACGACGGCGTGCACGGACGCGACGGCAGGAGCCACTTTTGGGTGCTTGCGTAACGCAACCACGTCTGACCTTCTCTCATCCTGGGAGACGATTGCGGCGCTCTTCCCTGAGCCTTTCCTCTTCAGCCCTGTCATCGACGGACCGAATGGCATCATCCCCGATCTTCCATCCAAGCTGCTCGCAGCCGGTCACTTCTCCAAGATCCCGTTCATTGCCGGTACCGTACTGGACGAAGGCACAGACTTCGTCCCCCAGTCGATCTCGTCCGAACAGGAACTGATTGAGTTCCTTGTCATCTCCGACAACCCTTTCAACCCGACGCTCTCGACCAAGTTCCAACAGGACATCGCTACCCTCCTGCAGCTCTACCCCGACATTCCTGCTCTCGGCTCGCCGTTCGGAACCGGAAACGAGACGTTCGGCTTGAGCAGCGAATACAAGCGCGCGTCGGCACTGTTGGGTGATGCATCATTCCAGGCCCCTCGTCGAGAGTGGATCCAGACGGCGGCCGCGGAGGGGGTCACCACGTACGGATATATCTTCACCGATCAGCATGCTGCCGCAGCCGATCCTGCCGCAGGAGGTATGCGTCTCCTATCTCTGCCCCCGCAGCTAACGCTCACGATGTTCGTCTGCTCACAGTGCAGCATGCTTCCGAGATTCCGTACGTGTACGGCGACCCTACGGTTACTGAAAGCAATATGGGAGTTGGAGTGCTGGCGACGTCCATGACGCACTACTGGATCTCGTTCGCTGTGAGCGGTACGCCTAACGATGGCAAGGGCCTTCCGAGTGGGTGGTATTTAGTTGTCTCCGTCGAGGTACATGCTAACGTTATCATGCCTTAGGAACCGCGTGGCCGCAATACCAACCGAATAATCAGGTGCGTCTTGCATCATGGACTATTCACCTCTTTGCTGACGGTATGGCGGAAACAAATAGGTGCTTATTCAGTTCGACACCACCAACCTGACCTCGGACTTGTCGAAGGCGACCTTCGCTATCATCCCAGACACATATCGTGCACAACAGATATCTTTTATCAACTCTATCTCGGCCGATCTTGGAGAATAGGTGTGGTAGTCTCGATACGCAGACTAAGCGGAGAACTTTGAGGACGTAGCTATAGCCTTCCTCTTGGGTATCTCCCAGACGCATAATCAATTCCTCTTTCCCATCATTGTCTTCCATGACCTGTGACGGAACACGCAGGTCAACGGCGTCCGAAGGACATAAGAGCGGGTTGCTATACCCAGTCTCCCAGATGACTATCGCAGTATCTCTCCTCACCGAAGTGGTTCAGTTGAGCTCGAATGCGTAGCTTATTAAAGTGGACGCCTAAAGGTCAACCACGGTAGATACAGGACTTTCGGAGTTGGAACGCCCCTGATAGACGAAATCCCTACGGACTCGGACGTCACCTCGACTCTTTAATACTCAGTGACCCACTACATGTGTTTTTTCTCCCAGGAAGTCACGTTTGTGCCACTTCATACTGCGTGCTCATTTACTTGGCGTTTAGCTCATGCATCACCTCATACTCCAGCTAGAAGGTGTCTTCGGCCGATCAAACCACCCCGCCGCTACCGTCATATGTTTCTGACATATCCAGGGAGAAACAATGCTTTCCAGAATGTTGCGTCGTAATAAGAGTTCCTTGATGGGCGGATTACGCCAGGCGGATGGGAGAGCCAGAAAATATGGTGTTATGTATTAGCAAGTATTGTACGTTCCCCAAGCATCCTCGCAATCAGCCGGTTGGGCCATCCACATGAACTCGGAATCGCGTAGACCATGGGTGTCAGATGTTCGGCAGCGTCGACTTCCGCGGACGTCAGTATAGCTGCATCTGATATGGGCACAAGAAGGCGAATCCGATTGATCTATAGGGGCTTTGTTTCTGCGTAAGTGTTTAGTCTGCGAAGCCCCCCTCTATAATCTGCGCTTCGCGCCGCTGATTGGAGATGGACACCTTGGGTGTATCCGTGTTCGATACAAATTACTTTGGTGCGCCTTTCGTGGAGTCCAATGTACGTCCTTCACATCTATCGCATGGAAAGCTGCGTCTCTCACGACACATTTTTACTGTTAGCTTACGAGCGCTTCAAAAGACAGCACTTGACGTTGACTAACATTCGTCCTTCTCAAGCTCTCCTGTCCAAGCATGCTCCCGTGCCCGTCTCATTACAGATCTATGAGGTGGCTCGTTCAAGGTCAATACTTGCATCTATAACTGCAACTCAAATTATCGTGCAGAGCATGTTGGGAGTGAGTTCCTCGCAATGTCTGTTCAATAAAGCTGCGGACCTGACTCATAGCTCTAAGGATCACTGGTCGCCTATGTTAGCTTAAGCTTACGCGTTGGACCATTCGGGTCCTCGCAAGACACTGAGGCAGAACAACTTGGAGCGTTGAATGTCGAACTGAAGAATCGGCGTGCGGGCTGTTGTGGGTGCAGAAGCACATTAGTGCGTCTGGAGGCGATTTGACCAAGTCGTACTTACAACTATCGTCAAGATAGGATCCTTACTTACTACTGTCATCCCTAAGATCACGTTATTGGGCCAATGCAACGGTGCGGTATCAATTGCCGCCTTGTATCTGCATCCTGGCTGGTGTCCGAGAGGCCGTAAGTACCACTCCATTTTACGTCGTGGACGACAAGTTGAACGTTTTCCGCACATCTCTACTTGAACCGTTCTTGCGACACCCGACAAAGTGTATTCCATGTGCGACCTCCATTTGCGAATTGCACTCGTGAACATGTATACAGTCTTCGCTTCCTCGCTTTTATCCATGGCTCGGGGCACTGTTGCGGCTAGATATTGGCTCAGGCAATCCCTGCTCTGTGGTACTCATTATCTCCAAAGAGGTTCAATGTGTGTGCGAAAGAATATGATTTATACGTGATGACTGTCATTCTCATGGTAATGAACAAAACGGAGAGAAGTCTGTGCTCAACGCAATTCAGAAAATGGGGCGGTCAAAACCATAGATGAACGAGCACCTGAATAGGGAATATCATGGAATTGACTGCGCCAGGAGCCAAAGCGTCGAGACCAGCCCATGATGAAATGGCTGTCAGGTTGTTCTTCGTAGACGGTACATCAAGGAACATGTCATTGGGACCACCATCATGGACTTGCATATCATCACATTCAACATTCTCAAAGAGCCAACAGATGTATTTGAATCTCACCGTAAAGTCCGGTTTGGGGAAGGCTCCCTCCAGACGGAACTCCATGTGTCGCAGGAGAGTAGCGATGATTGTACCTATCTGTAGGTAAGCAAACTAGGGCATATGAGCTGTTATCGTTCCTTCAATATGGATGAATAGTGTTCAGCGTACCTGTTCGCCAATGCAGCGATGTTTCCCAGCGCCGAATGGTAAGTACGGGGACGAAGTGCCCTTGCTAACTAGCCCGAAGCCGAAGTCGATCTTGTCAGTCTCGTCGTACTTTTTCCTGGCTGCAGAGGCCATTCCTTCCTCGTCGTGCCACCTGTATGGGTCCCATCGCTCGGGATCTACCCAAATAGTTGGGTCTAGCTGGCTGACCATCGGTGATGCCAGAACAATATCTCCCTTGGGAACAACGAAGGCGGTGGCTGTGGAATCCAAGGTTGCTATTGACGGGGAAGCAAGGGTCGCAGGGACTGGGATGCTGGAACGCGCTTTCCTCATGATGCTATGAATAGGAGGATGGAGGCGGAGGGTCTCGCGGATCACCGAATCTAACACTGTCAGCTTACGGAGATCCTCATAACGTAGGGCACCGAGAAATCCCTCCGACCCGCCACAATGTTCTACTTGCTCCTGATATAGTGCCTCCCTATTGATGTAATATGAGCCTTATTCTTATGTGCTCTGGATCTCAGGAAAGTGAAAGACATACTGGATATCGAGACACTGTGCTATATGTAGCATAGACCAGGACAGCGAAGACGCGCTTGTATGTTGTCCAGCCATGAGAACCGCTATCATGAGATGGGCAATCTCCTGATCAGGAACACATGTGCCATCGCGGTACTGCTGCTGCATGAGATCTGTGATGATATCTTGATGGTCCTCCTGTATGTAGTTCAGCGCCTGCAGAGTGATAATGGCACCGTTGACTCACCAGATTGCCGTGTGAGCGACGTTCGTGTATGAGCTGTTGGTAAAACCTGCTCATTCTGGCATGTGCCGCATCTCTCCTCCAGTAGCTGGGAAGGGGTAAGCCCGGAATGATCCAGTGTAACGGGGTAAATCCATGGTCGAGGTCCACGAGAGTTTGCGCGTAGTCCTTTGTCAGGCTATCTCGGACTCGGACCCCTTGCAGGCTATGTGATGCCGTAAGAAGAGTGATCTCTGAGAAGGTCTTGGGAACAGAGAGCGTGAGCCATTCATGGCAAGCACTACCGCTTGATGGTAGTTCGGCCGTGATGTACCCTTTGACCTCATCCGCAATCGTATGGACGTAAGACGCGAGCTTTTGAGCGGTGAAGGAAGCTTTGAAAAACTTCTTTTGCTCCATGAGCTTGTCGTTTGGGCAGTCGTAGATGACGCCAGTACCGAATACAGGTGTTGTCAATGGCTACCAGGATGACGATCAGAGCCCTCTCCTACATAAGACAATTGTGATGTAGACGTACAGCATAAAAATCCTCTGCCACGAATGTGGTGTGCTTTCCGCCAAGTACGAAGTCATTCCCTCGCTCACCAAGGGCAACTGTGATACGCTTCCCCAGAAGAATGAAGGTGAAGCAATTTCCATACTATCCACATGTTGGACACAGATAGAATGATAAAATATTGCCACACATACCCGTTCCCTGCAGGTACGGAAGAATCCAACTGGGTCTTTTCCATAAGATATTGTAGAGCCAAGGAAAGGTATCCAATGCCAGACGACGGGAGGTTGGGACCTATTGAGTGAAAGCTTTGTATTGACATGAGCATCGATGGAGAACCCTCTCAGCAAGGTGGGCTTACGAGTTGACGGCATATATTGATTACGATGATGGCTATACAGACGTTGACAGCGGAGAGGATAAAGGATACCAGCATGGTGTAATGTTGTGTTGGGTGTAGAGATTGGGGGAAACACACAGGGGTTTGCAGGCACCTATAATGGAGGAAGACTGAGAAGAACAACGTGGAATCATCAACGGGCAGAAACCCGACCGACCTCTTCGTATCGATGCCACAACTCAGAACCTCGCGAGGTCTGAGCGCATCATTGTAGCTGATGAAGCTCAACACACTGCTTTCAGACAGTGACAAACATTAGTGGAAAACAGCGCGCAAACGCTTGGGGCTCCTATCATCATCGCAATACGGACACCACATGCTCTGTGCACAATCACAACTGTCATCCGGCACCGCTTGAGCGTAAGTCTTCTGTACAGCAATACCGTACCTCGGCAGTTATCTACTCCATAGGTCCACGTTATTATTGGCATGATTGGTGAGTAGTGGCCGACTATCTCACGATGCACGATGCAACGGGCACTGCCACTAGAAGATAGCAGCCGGTGCATTGTCGTACAAGAACTGATCTGAAAAGGATGTTCCGATAAAGGCATCAGTCAAGACGGGATTCGACTTCAATCAGGTCACTGAAATAGAGGATACACGATATTCTTTGACTATCGCGCACTATGAGAGAGTCAGTTTGTGTGGGTCTGCCCCCAGCGTGCATTGCCCTAAATTCAGAACGTAACATTCTGGGAAGGGGCGTTGCAGACTGCTTCCTGGTCTCAGGCATCTGACATTCGCATACATACATACAACGTACATATATGCACTATACGGGGCCCATCTTACACGGCGGAACTCCAAAACTCGTTTACCAGCAGCATTTATTCCAGCATTATCGTGCGTAGTTTACCTTCTAGAGACGAAGAGGTTTGGCAGGTCGGTGTGTAGCGCTTCCGAAAGCATCCGAGAGAAGCAGCGGGACAGGGACCCGCCTCATGGACTTATTAATCTCCAGAAGACTCCCAGTTTCCAACGACCGCATGTAGCTGTCCGGCGTGCTTCAGGGGCGCCGGGAAACTTTCTCATGCAAAACGGCTTGAGGTATTAGGTTGAAAGACATGCATCGCCATGAGAAGCAAGTGCTAATAGTGCGCACTCCATGGCGCTTCGGCCTCATCACATCGTCGCTTCTTCAACATTTTCCCGCTTCGGGCGCACTGCGCGGTTCAATCATCGATGAGCGCGCGGCCGGCACACACCTTTGGTACTGCGGCCGAAATGCTCCTAGGCGCAACAATTTCAACATATATTCAACGCAAACAAGTCAGTACCACTTACTCGGCAAACTCTTGCCAAGGTTGGGTGTTCTGCTGACAGCGAACAAGATTCAGTAGTCAGTGATGGCGTTGGAAAGCAATGGAACATGATGCGAACACCTTCATGTAAGCACAGGATCGCCTTCATCGTACGGAACCTCGGAACCATGGTGCACTGTCATCGGACAAACAGCGTGAGTGATAGGAAGGATAACCATACCTCGCGTAGCAAGATGGGCTGTGGCAGAGTGCTCACCCATGAAGATGATGTATCGTTAGGTAGCGGCCACCGCTGCCGTTGCTGTCCGGCTCCACTCGCGGCGGGGAGCCTGGCACGAGGTATCATCGAATAGTGCCGACGCGCGCTTGTATTGACCACTCAGGCCGAACATCTCGTCCCTGTCCCAGAGCAGGAACATCAGGGGGAAGAGCTGCAGTGGCATCGCATCATTCTGTTCCTGATTCTTCGAGAGCGACGGGAAGCAAGGGTGATTGTTAACGACGATGACTTCGATCAGTTCCTCGCCGGACGAGAGCGACTCGTGGATGAAGTCTGTTCCGCGGTAGTGCAGATCATGGGCGCGATTGCGATGTTCCACGACGGATTGGAAGCAGACGGGACTCATTCATGCTTCGCAGAGAGCGCGCACCCCCATTCCCGCAGCGTGCCTGTCCGCTGTCGAGATGCGTACTCGCCTCTGATTCTTCCCCGTCGAGGCGCACGAGCGCATGTCGCTGGACCCGACAAGCGGGGAAGCTGTCTCCTTTGTCCTGCTCGCAGAAACGCATCCCACGAACGCCTTGCCTCCTGCCGCGCTCGGCTTGGGCGATGCAGAAGCGCATGCAGCCAGATGAGGCATCGGTGGAGATCCGCTGCGTGCGCAGGCTCTCAGGGCGATGTACAAGCGCCTCAGGAACCGTCCTATCTCGGTTGTCAGCGGGGCCACGGAGCTGCTGGGGATTTGGGGCGACCACCGCCCACTCTCCATACTAAGGCAATGCACGATACAATTGCCTTCCGCAAAATACATCGAAGGGCTCTCCTCAGTGCAAATTCCTGAGGTGGTTCTGCCTTGCGCGTGGCGTTCCGTTCAGCGCGACCTGGCAGCAGTGCTGCGCCAGAAGCTCAGGACGGAGCACAAGATGGGGCCATCGAAGAATGGAGAACGTACCGCAGGACTCGGTCCTCACTACACGCCTCTCAGTCACGTTCGTGCCGTTTCCGGAACGCTCGTGTAGGGCCAGACGCGCGCCGTCCAGTACAACCTGATAAGAGTGCTGCGCCGGATCCTGATAACCCTCTGCAGACAGTGCGAGATATGTGACACATTGGAATCAAGGGCTTACAAACAGCCGCAGAAGATGGAGACATGTCCGCGACTTCCAGTCGGCCCGAGATGCTTGACGTCGCAACCTGGCTTCGCGATGAAAGAGCGATACGCCTCCCAGCCTTCTGCTAGCTCCTGGACGCTGAAAGTGCAATGTTTGCTAATTTTAATTACGATCTTGTAACGGACAAAAACCTTACCTCTCAGACATGCATCGCCGCTGGAGTCGAGACCGGTAGAAGAACCCTGACCGTTGGCGCCTGAGGAATGTGATTCGGAGAGCAAGAGGCACCCAGGCATGCCCGTACTTTCTTGGACAGAAAGTTCGAACTGCGACAGGCTGCGATGGGGCGGTTGCACATGTCTGTTCTGCTTCGGCTACCTGGATGATACCCTCAGCCGCCTCCGGAGAAACCCCACGTAAAGCCGCGGGAATGGCGATGGACTGAAATACAACAGCCACTTCAAGGACATGTCGGAGCGCGGAGCGGGACTCTGCTCCCACATCAAATCGTAACTGAGGCCTTGGCGGAGCGCAGACTACCAAAGCAAGGCTAGCTTCGATGGCGGACGCAGAGCGGAAGAAGCCAGGACGGGGAAGCGAGCAGGGAGGTGGTTGGGAGCACTGCATCAAACCCACTGCTGAGCATCAGATAGGCGTTTTTGCTGACGATTAGGGGGGGTTGGGCTACATCGGGCGCGCGAAAACGAACGTGCTATCGAGAATGGTGATGCAATGCTCCCACCCAAAGATGACGGAAGCTTCATTGACGTAGAACAAGCTGCACACGAAGGTTGCAAGGCGCGACCGCCCCAATAGCACGCACCTGCAACGCGTCTAGGACTTGATTCGGGATTAAGGAGGGCGACTACTGACACACCATAAGCGACATTTCTCCGCGTTCACATCCGAAGTCGTCTTCTGCCCAAAGACCTCGGTCAGGGTTCAAGTGATATTGCGACAGGCACGGGAATGCGTTTCGCACATCGAGATCAAATATATCGTGAGCAGCGACAGCAAAGATCAAGTTCTCAGAATCGAGCGAGCGAACAGCAAAAACCCATTTGCGACAAGCGCCGACGTCTGGGGACGGGACGTCCGAAGGTACTCGTACATCACGACCACTGATAGAAGCGACAAGCGGACATGTGTTACAGTGGTCGACATTGATAGGAGCAAGGCGAAGGCGAAGCACGCACCAGAATTTTGAGAGTCCGTCGTACAGGACGCGAAGCTTGGAGTCACGGTAGATGAGTCGTACGGGCACATGTCCACACCGCAGCCGACTAAGAAGATGATAGAGAAGATACGCACTGCCTCAATAGTCCCTAATCCAGGGTCACTTCATACGGGAATTGCGAGCGACACCAGAGGGAGAATGCGATCGATAGAGATGGTGTGAGACACGTAGCAATGGCGCGCTCGTCAACAAATGCACTGCACGCCGTTCGTGGAGAGTTTGAGACTAGGTCCGGAGCAAGGAGGCAAGGTGACGTGGAACGAGGGCAAGTGCGAATTGAGTTACGGAAGCAGCCAAGCGGGGGACGAGCGGCGATTGTGCCGTCAGGAGAAGTCAGAAGAGTAAAGAATGAGAAGATGATAGAACGCAACACCTGCCACCGTAGAAGGTCAGACATACAGCGTACCCGTTGGAGGATGGCGAAGGATGTCCAGAGAAAGACGGAGGAGAGGCGGGTACGGCCAGGACGACATCAAGCGCTGGCTTGCCCCGTGGGAACTTCTCAGAAAACGGATGACATGATACTCACGTGATACGCATGGCGCAGTATGAACTTCGGGTCCGCGTTCGCGATCATTCGGCGGCCGTGGGTTGAACATCTCGCTTTCCCGTCGCGCATGATCTGCCCTAGGGCGCACTTGCCTAGGTATACGCGTGAGATGTGGTGCTTCTCTGCTTCGTCCTCGGTCTTTGACTTCAGGGACTGTATATGTTAGCGCAAATCATCGCGAGGGGCCTCTCGAATCCCGCAAGACACGCCGGATGCCGATCAGCTAGGAAATTTGCATGTCGGGCTTAAGGGACATCTTGTAGGGCTTTTTTGGCTGCAGAAACACAACACCGCTTTTGGAGTTGATTGTACTAAGGTATGGTTCTACTTCGTGTTGAGAACGAGATCCTCACTGATTATTCATCTCCATCTCTATCGATCACGGTTCTCCGAAAGCAGAAATCTAGCGCCATATCCATAGTGCAGTTGTATGTGTACTCTAGCTTGGCGGAATACGGATTTAGAGGTGAAGTGAGCACCTTCTCTTCTCTCGCCTATTGTGTGCTAAGTGCGTTCTGGTAGATGATAGAGTCAGCTTCTGCTGGAAGTAATCCTCGACTCCTGGAGAAGTCTAAGACCTTTTCATGTGCAACGCGACGGCATGCTCGGATGTGATGTCGGAATCCAAGTCTAGGTGCGTATCTGAAACGCCATAACGTCTGATCTTGTATTGTTCTGGAAGACCGTCGCTTCAATTTCCCCTTTGGCTTTTGTTTGAACCCTTGTCGTTGTTTGAGTGGGTGGCCTGATTCTCGAACTTTCCCACAGGCTCATTCACGATCGAGAAAAAGGCAATTCAGTGAATCTTTGTTGCTGAACACCCCTTCGCCCCGACGTGCCCAACGTTGAGCAGATAGTGTTTGTGTTCGACGGTGTAGTGACTTTCATACTCGCTTCATTATCAAGGTTAGAATAGGTCTACGTAGTGAACGCTGACATTGCAGTGTATCAGATACCTTGGCTCTTCTCGTCCCATGAAGCTAGATATATACTCAAACCATCTATGTTTAGTCGCAATCCACTCCGACCCGGACGTGGTAAATCGCTGCTTCTCCTATGTCTACTTGATACTCGACGCCCCACTGGTATTATACACGCTCGCACCGCTAGAAGGTTGAATTGAGACAAGCGGATGCCTGGTTTTCCTAATAGGTCGTCTCCGCTTACGACCTCGACATGAAACCCCTTCGCTTGGGGCTAGATTGTACGTCTTGTGACCGAGCCATGATAGATGGAGATAGAATCTATTCCCCTCGAACATTCCTCTCCATACCAACTACTACATTGGTGCATATCTACCCATACCAGGCTTCAACTCCCTTCAGATGAATGGCTAACTAATATTATGCACCGAGGTCTCCCGAGAGCCGTTCTTGTCAAGGCTGTGAGACTCGTAGGTCAGTGGCCCAAGCACCACCCGAGTGGAACTGCCGGCGGACTCCGGTTCCGCACTGTCCCAGCTCGTTCCCGTGCACCAAATTGTAGCGAGGAGCACGCAGACGATCTCCAAGTAGCCATTGGCGAAGAATACTTCCGCTCCGTGGAAAAGATTGGGGTCGCGGAAGGCGAGAATGATGAGAATGGTGTTCATGATGACAGGGCCGACGAAGTTGAAGGATGCAATCCAGAACAGGTTGCGGAGGCAGTTGGAGTACGACCCTATAAGATTCAAGCATCTCCGATGAGTTGCTACTCGAGATTTTAAGTAAGTGAGCCACATACTGGATCCGTCTGGTCCTATGGTGCTAAGCACACCTGTCGACGATTTACGGAACACGCGGGCTCGCTTCAGCCGGAGGAGAAAGAGCATGGATGCATATCTGTGTCGGGAGTATTAATGTTAATGCAAAACATCGGAATAATGATAATCAAAGCAATCTTACGTATCACAGAAGAGCTCAAGAGCCCATTCGACTTTGGGGTACGGGAGAACCCAAGTGATTTGCCACAACTCAAAAGCACTCTCTGCGTCGTCAATGCCAGCTATTGTCTTCCACCAGATCAGGCCTGCCATCACGCAACGCGCGAGCAGTCCGAGAAGGAATGGAACATAGACGAGGACGAGTCTTATCTTGCTGAGAGTGCGCGGAGGATAGACGGCAAGAAGTCGGATGAACAGGACAACTGAGACGGTGAGGGGGATGAGGAAATTGAGGATACTGCATGCAAGGACGATCCTGGGATGAATGACTTGTCCTAGAATTGCTGCACGCTGCTTCGCATAAGCGCAGGGACACGCTCACGAAAGGCTCACTCACCAAAAATGAGATTGCCAGACCACCGAAGGCGAATCCCATTGATAGAGCGCATACATTGGCGATGAATACCGGAGACTTCCACATTTTAGACCGCGAAACAAACAGATGGATGGTGATCGGAATGAGAATGCCGGTGCACAAAGTCATGAGGACCAAGTCCCCAATAACTTCGGCGAACAATGCTTCGGCAGACTGATCCATCTGAGGTCCAGACGTTGCTATGGCGGTAAATATCGAGTTCGAACTTAGTGTGGAGGACGAAGCAAGTAGTCGAAGCGCTTGGCCTGACTCTGAGCTGAGCTGACTGTGGTTCTTGTAGTCGATTGGGCGTCTGAAAGAAAGGGCCCGAGTGTCATTAGCCCCCGCTGTTCAGCGACTCCTCCAACAACAGAGTTCCCTAATCCGAGAGACTGGCGGGGGATTCAGACGCTGGTCCTCCACCTTTCCATCGTCTGGATGGCGTGGAATCACATTAGGTTTGTTGATGAAGCACACGGGGCTCCTCGATGCCATCTGTGGTGCACCCTTATCTTGGCGGTGATTCATTACTGTTTTACACTGATACCTTGCTGATAATCAAGCAGAGCTTAACCCACATGACATACGTCGGCCTTCGCAATCCCATAGTCCCAGCGCCCATCATGAGTTACAACAGATGTGAACATTAGCGTCGTGTTCCTGCGCTGAGGGGTTTGCTCGGATCAAACGGAAACCCCCACTGGACCCAGTCATGCCACCCTGAGGTCATTGCTCGACTCTATCCCACCGCCGGAAGCGCTTTTGAACAGCAGGAATCTGCGTTGAGAGCATCCCTTGCAAGAGATCGGATGTTCTGTAACTCGAAAATCCGCGCAGCCATGACGAGCTTGTCCCAGAACTTGGAGGCGGCCGGAGCGCGGTATTGCGGGCCTTGCAGAAAGCTGCCACTGACCCACGCACACGGGTGTTATTCCACAGCCAGGGTCAACACGTCTTCCACAAGTGGTACATCCACATAGGTATTCCTCACAATATACCACCACTGCAAAGGTTCACGAGCTCATGACAATTTGTTGTAAGACACCCTACTGGGCCCCTCAATGCCCGGGAAGCGTGATATGAAAGATAGCATCAAGCCACAATGGGCAATGAGGGCGGTTCCTGGGCGCTGGAAGCAACGTCTTCGAGAGATTGCTGGATCACCAGGTATGCTGAGATGCGAAGTTGTTCGACGGATCCTATGCGATTCTCACTGTGCGATGACCGCTACGACGTGCTGAGTGGACCATTTATATGGCGTAACATGGAAAGAGAATTGAAATGAAGGTCTGGGATGTGTGAGAAAGCGAGCGAGAGGGAATCATGCTCAGAGGATAAGAAGCGTCAAAATTGTAAACTAGACTTGCTACCTCGTTATCAGGTTAGGCACCGTCGTGCGGGAATATGTACGCAGCAATACTACTCTGGAATAAATAAGGGCTAAATCCATTTAGATGACTATGTGGTCCACGTCTCAAAGTTCAGCGACGTGTCTCCGAACACAAGTGTCGCGGCATCGCCTCCACACTTCCAGGACATCTCCAGACTTTGCATGCCCACAGCAGCGGAGGTCTTTATCATGTATATGATGCGCATAGCCAAGATGCACACCGCGATTCGGGCTGAATAGAATATATATCGAGCTGTGGAGGGACGTTGTGAACCCCTAATCAGAACATACTGGTCCGCGGTCACTTAGTATAACATACTGACCTTTGGGGACATTCATTTCAGCCGGACGTATGGAATCGTTGTGATCGCTGGAGGCTAGGATTTCTGTACCCCTGTCAAGTATTTATCAGCATGGGTCCATGCATGATACCACTAGACATACATGTGGTACATGCCGTTCGACAACCTGGCAAGAGGAGTGCTAGAGTCATGCGACGCAACATTGGCATTCCGTAGGACGTACTCTGGGTCATCAGAAAGCCCCATGTGAGCAAGCAGAGGAGGACCGTATTCCTTGCGGCATAGCTCCAAAGAAAGGGACTGGGATTGAGGGACCATGCAGGCTCTGAATAGGACGATAGCCACGGGAATGAGGAAGCAAAGGCTCTGGATCGCCATCTGGCCTGTTGCAAAACTATGTGAGTGGCTTCTTTGATCATTGCTAGAGACTTACATGCAAGTTAGAAAGAGGTGAGAATGAGGGCACCGTACCCGCTCAGACAACGATGAAATCAGTATTACCAGTTGTAGTGCGCCTTCAGTGTCCCACAAGATGTATCGAGGATGCAGTTTCTGTATTTGTTGGATGGGGCTTTAGATACTGTTCTTGAACCCGGCACAGCCGATCGAGGGTGAGCGGGAATGTGGGCGAGCTTCTCGCGGCTTGAGAAACCGACTCAAGACGTGAGGCGTTACGCTCATGAACACAATCGGAGTAGAGTCTTGACACCATTCCAGCGTCAAGGTAGTCGGGGTTACTAGAAGCCGTAGCGTCATCCATGATTGGGGCGCCCAAGAACTGCAGCTACGCAGGTGCCCAAAAACCTGACCGCGCCGGTTCCAGATGCTGTCATATATCAAAGCGGGTGGCACCGTGCTTTCCATGCGGCCTTTGCGAGGTTATGTGCGTAGCCCGGGGTGACATACAAGCACAGACGAATGACACGCCTGGCCTCAACGCGATCGTCCTCCTCTCGCAAATTGCAGGATTTTCGACATCACAACCGCGCACACACTCGTCATGATATCATCAATAACAATTTCCCAAGCGCTTTGGACTAGATATCTATGCCTCTCGAATACCACGACGTGACTACAAGCAACGATCTTCGGGACGTCAATCGACTTCCTCAGGCACGTGCAGCACTTGGTTGTCCTCGGAAGTATTGAGCCCGCAGAGCGCCATGTGCATGTTCTTTCGAACATCCTCGCATCTGGAGTCGTGCCTTCTGGATTATGCGGAGGAAGTTCAAACTCACGAAGGCCATTCTGATTACTATATGCGCTCTTTTTAATGCACCGCCCCCTCGCATAGGTGTCCGGGGTCTGCTCAATCGAGCGCACGTAGCATCGAGAATATCGTGATGCTCAGCTGCGCTTCATCAGGAAGGTGACAACTGAAGCCATGTCTCCAGATACCGTGCACCAGTATATAGCGCCCACAGGAAACACTTCTGTGAAGTCTGTGAAGATGGCGGCCGCCGTGTGCCAGATGGCAAGTATAGAGCGTTGATATGTTACGGCACTGCTATTCGCCACGGCCTACCGGACAAGTCTTCTCGGGTACGAACATATCGCGCTGTTCTCAGCGCGAATGGCACTCCATATATCGACCCCCTGAGAGGTCTTACTGTTGTCGTAATTAGAAGATTAATCTCTGTTGTCTCTCCGTCGTCCCGCAACGGCGGTGACCTTACAATCGAAGTAGAACGTGATCAAGCGACCCTCTCCAGATCCAGGATCCAGAATTCATACTGCTAAGGCTCCTTCAAAGTATTACGGATTTGATTCCCTTGCAAAGCCTTAGGTTAATATGTTCCGCTATTGAGGTACTATGGATCATGTGGTGCACTCGATCCTCGTTGAAGGCTCTCGCACATACTGTCAACGCTGTGTGATTCTGCTTGCATGTTTCGGGACATGCAGACCTTGAGAGACAATGGCATGGCGACGATCTATCTAGCGAGGAACATCTTGTGGGCCATATGCTACCCACAGGAAGCACTTCGGCGGTGCGACGGTCTAGGAGAATAAGGGCGAGGTGTCTCGTAAGTAAACCACTGTTAGCCTGAGACATGGCTCCCCTTCCATCATCCAAGTTCAAGCGTGCTGCGCAGGAATCAGTTCTGTAGCACTCCATCTGACGATATAGAATCGCGTGGCGCACGTCAGCGGTCCAAAAACCATGCGAGGTGAGGCGGCGTAATCGAGCCAGAGGACTGCCCGGGAACGGGAAAGCAGACTCCTTCTAGTTGATTCTCCTGTATCAGAATCGTTGGAGGTTCTGAAATGTTCCCTGCCAGTTTCGGCGTGCATCAGAGGGATACGGCACCTAGCATGCTAGAAGGCGTCTCTAAGCCCGACTCGGCGTTGCCGTGGGAAGGCTAGTAAATTCATATATAAATATAAGTACATATATACATGTGCGGAGCTTAGTAACACGACTCCTCTCCCTTGATGCCTGTCTGAGTAATGGACAAGTCACAGGCTACGCTCTACGGTGTTTTGGCTGCCCTCGTAGCGATATACGTGTTCCGATGGAGAACCAACCGGGTAAGGATCTCTATTCACAATTTCGCATCGTCCTGTACTTACGCTCTCTCCTTTCCCCAGCTTCAGCATATCCCAACCCTCGGAGGTCCCTCCGATCCGGTGCTGTCTTACCTGTCAGCGTTCAACTACATCCTCAACAGCACCAAGATTCTCAGAGAGGGATATGAAAGAGTGCGTGCATGGTTTGATCGCAGAAGTGCGCCTCATCGATAAGCGATCCACAAATGGTTTGGTCTCTGGCGGACAGTTCAAGGGTTCGGCGTTCAAGGTCGCAGACTTGGAATCGTGGACGGTGATTTTGAATGGTCCAGAGATGGTGGATGAGATCAGGAAACGGCCGGATGAGGAGCTCTCGGCCATGGAGAGCAACGAAGAGGTGATGTCCATATTGACACCGCGCCTTGCTGTTACCTTGACCATTGACACGTATATTCCAGTTCCTTCAGATACGCTACATCTTTGGCAAGGAGCCGTACGAAGATCCTTATCATATTCGCCTGACCAGGGATAAGTTGACAAGAACCCTGCCGGCCATCGTCCCAGACCTAGTCGATGAGCTGCGGGCAACCCTACCTGAATACGTTCCCACTCATGGCGATGGTACGTAGCCACATTGCATTTATCGTGATATGGATAGTCCGTTGTATGACCCTCCAATGGAAACAACAGAATGGACCACTATAGACGTCACCACGACTACGCAGAAGATTGTCGCTCGCCTGAGCAATCGTGTCTTCGTCGGACTTCCCGTATGTGAGTCTGATAAATACCTGTAGTGGACACGGCTTAACTGAAGTTATCATTAGGTAGAAACGAAGAATATCTGAAGATGGCAGTAAGTATAGCGACGGACCTTATCAAGGACGCATTCATCCTCAAGACGTCCCCCCATTTCCTGCGACCGTGAGATGCACCTACACTTGCGTGCAGGTGCCGATGAGATTTGACTCTTGTCACGCAGAATCGTGGCATGGTTGACTAGTAGCACGAGGCGGACAGTACGTCGCGCCCTCCCATATCTGAGGCCCGTTATCGCAGAGAGGAAGGAGCAGATTGCAGAGCATGGTCTAGGACAAGACTGGCCAGGGAAGCCGGTGAGTCATTCACCCAGTTGCACAAGCGAGAGGTCGCTTACTAAGGGCGTGTAGAACGATATGCTACAATGGATTATAGAGAACGAGATGTTGAGAGGTGCAGAAGACGAAGCCATCATTGCGAGGATTCTACTGGTCAACTTTCAGGCTATCCACACGACATCAACGGTATGTCCAAGCCCACGCTTCATACATTCCAGACAGCCATCTAAGCCTGCAGAGCATTACACATGCGCTCTACCATCTTGCAGCATCCCCGGAATATATACATCCTCTGCGCGAAGAGGTACAGTCCATCATTGCGGCAGAGGGATGGACGAAAACGGCATTGGGCAAGATGCGGAAGCTCGACAGTTTTCTCAAAGAGTCGCAGAGGTACAACGGGATATCCTTGGGTAGGTGAATTCGCTTGTGGCATACCAACGCTTTGATGTGGTATTGATACTTGGTCATCTATGTCCAGTTGCTCCGGGACGGAAGGCGCTGAAAGACGTCCGGCTTAGCGACGGCACAGTCATCCCCGCGGGCACGATGGTCAACATGAACACCCACCGTTTACATCTAGACGACGCCTGTTACCCTAACGCGAACGAATTCGACCCTTTCCGCTTCGCGCGCATCCGCGAGGTCGATGGGGAGGGCACGAAGCACCAGTTCACACACACGTCGAATCAATATGTGGCGTTCGGTATTGGACGGCACGCCTGGTGAGTCGCGCGTCACAGCCCATTATCTTTCATTGTACGATACAAACGCTGCCACTGTTTCATTTTCAGCCCCGGACGGTTTTTTGCCGCCACTGAGCTCAAGGCGCTGCTCGCGTACATCGTGATCAACTATGATCTGAAGGTCGCTGGAGACGGGACGCGTCCACGCAATCTATACTTCAGCCACGCTATCCTCCCGAGCATGAGCGGGAAGATCATGCTCAGAAAGTGTCAAGTGGAGGAGGTAACGTGATTGTAGATTCTGGACAGGCGAGGCGTTATACACGGAGTGGACATCGTATAATATCGCTGCATATACGCTTCTTGACTACTGTTTTGCTCATCGACCAGCGGTCACGGGATTATCTATCCACCATTCAATTATATCTCGGTTTTGAGCCACGCCGCCCTGAAGTATTACCAGTCGCGCGCAGTTCGACAAAGTGCAACATGTCAACCAAATGCCTGTAGGGGCTCACTTTGTCGAGAACAGCAGGTCTCACCGCCTGCACGCAAGGGACCTTTGCCAGCAAACATTCGAGACCCCTGGAATGGGACAGATGACTCGTTTACTACAGCCATGAGATCAGCTGGATACATACGGGTGCGGATAGGCATACACGGAGTGCCAGTGCTTGATACACGCATCGGATATAATCTGCTCGGGGATTCTACCTCGCACGATGTATGCGAGCGTAAATGCTCATATTACCTATTATTCCATGAAATGTACGGGGTACTGACAATACAAATGCATGTATGTAAGAGCATAGAGTATTGTATGGTCGACTGTAGCGAATGCGGCTGCTGTGAGCAAGATTGCCCATGGCAATCGCAAGCACTGAACACGCCGGGCACGCCCAGAGGTGTTCGCGACGTGATCGCAGAAGCTGGTAAGGGGAAAAAAGGGCAGAAATGTCAGAAGACCGCCTGAGCGGCGTGCACCCACCTGGCTAACGCGAGAATCAGCACACGTTGGGAAAAATGGTATTTGCGCACCTGCATTGCCGAGACTACCGATCAGGGCACCCACAAACAGAAGCGACTCGGCAGAAAGGCACGCCGGCAGGGAAGATGCAATATACCGCTCCCAATAATTGCACTGATTTCGGGATAATCGTCAGTACCCATCGCACAGGCGCGAGGGAACGCTAAGGTAGCGAGCATCGGCCGCCGTCGGTGGTCAACAGAGAGCGAATTGAAGTATGATATGCTCAGACGCGTGAAGTGGAGGACTACAGGACACACATCCGGATAGACCTGAACTTACCGGATGGACGTCTAGACACATCGTCATAGTAGTGGATGCAAACAGATCTTGAGTATCAAACGCCGGGCTGTTGCCCGTTGTCCAGGAGCGTCTATAGTGTCAAAGAGCAGGCCTTCAGCACGGACGCGAACATATACGTGCGAAGAGAAAGACACAGGGAGTGTAAGTGCGCACATTGGGGCCGCAGCAACGACATCTATCGGCACGCAGCATCAGAAGGCATGGCGTAGTGGAGGTGTGAAGGGGACGAGACATACCTGGGAGCATCCTCGGGTGGTCAATGATTGATGCCCAGTGAAAACCCCGTCTATTGCCAACGATTGCTGCCTATTGCCATCTAATGCCGTCTTTTCTGAGCGATTTGGATGACAGCTCGGCGTCTAAAGCGGCTCGATTCATATATCGATTGGCTCGTTTTATATATACAATGGACCATTTGACGTCGATCGAAAGTATCAAACGGGTCTTCGACGTATATACTACTGTTGCATCCATGTCCACTATATATACTGCCTGTGTGCCAACCGACGGTTTTCCGACCATATCCATTCTTACGTCGTCTTCGATCTCGTCCCTGGCTCCTTTGTCCATGACGCCATCGGTGTCCGCGACACTCTTATAAAGGTGGGCGATGGCCGGCCTCCCGTCTCTGCGCCCTTTCTTCCCTCCTCTCACCATCCCTTCCTGTCCTTGGGTACACTCACTCACAGTGAGGCTAACAGGTAGGGCATCGCTGTCTCAGTCTGTACATGTCACACACAGGTGAGTGGGCTAGTCGCTGTCGTACAGCATACAGGTAAGTCGCACACGAGGTTATTGCACAGGGAGCAAAGAGCGCGTGAGGCAATGCAGCAGTACTTAGTGATAGGTCACTGAATGTCGTCGCACGGGTGCGGGGAGTAGCGTACTAGTATGTAATCCGACCAATGTACCGTAGAGTAGCCACCTATAAATATCCTCGTCCATGCGCGATCTAGAACCGGATAAAGCATACGAATTTTTCAGTACTGTCGTAATCTGTCCCAATCTGTTTGTCAGACGTTGAATAGAGTGAAACATACCAATATCGGGGGGAAAAGATACAAATAGACGTGAAAAGTTGATCGGCGGCAAATAGCTTTTTGTGCCTTTTGTCACCGTTTTCCATCGAATGATACCGATTTCTATCGATTTCTAGGTATTACTGTCTTTTCGCCAGACAGAAATCGGCTGAAAAAGACCAGAATAGTGGGAAACAGACGGGGTTCTCACTGGGATTGATGACTCTTCACCAGAGCTCCGGCCGCACAGGTCCTGAGCGCTGAGCGTTAATGTACATCGCCCGTTAGCACACATTCTGGCTGGGAAACACACTTGAGACATTCGGTTTCGTTTGCATGCTCTGACAGTGCCACCACGTTGCATGGTCGACTTGCTGGTCAAACAGAGACGAGTTGAGGGATGGCACCCTATGAGAGTAAGACAAAACATTGAGCATCGGAGCAGAATATAAGATCGCCCACAGTCAGATGAGCAGCTGTGGCCAAGCAGAAAGGAAGGATGCAAGCCTCGCTACGTCGGGCTGCGTCATCGCCGTTGCCATTGCATTTGATCGGAACCGCATTTCAGGCGCTTATTGTACCGACTAACTCCGATCTCAACCTGAGCAGTACGACTCTATGACCCAACGACATTCGACTCGTAGCCCTTCATGATCCCGCTCAGTATTATATATCAGCCATTGCCTGCTTGAATTTTTTGCATCACATTAAGAACGTGCGTTCTACGTTGCTCGGAAGACGGACCCGTCGCCACACGAGCGCTCGGGCCGCTCAAAACATCTTTTCAGTTCGCCATGCACCTACTCAAGTCCACACTTCGGGATGTCTTTCCAGACTCATGATATCGGCCAATGTACGGCCTATCATTAAGGCGTAGGTTTTCTGGTGTCTAAATGAGAAGCTGCATCACTGCCACTTTCAAGTATGCATCTCCTCGTTCCTCCGCTTCAACATTTTGTCCTTCGTATCAAAGAGACGTTATCCCCTACCTAGCCTACCCAAAAACCCTAGTATAACTTGTAGAAGTCGAACAACTAGGTTGCCGCCCGATGCATCGGCAACCGGATTTCCGACTAGGACCATAACCCGGCCTTATCTACCTGCTCTCCACCCTGTATGTGCTAAGTCCTCGCGTTCGCATCTTCTTCTTGATTTCTGCATTTCAGCGAGAGGAAGAGTATGGGTGCATTTTTTCACTATGTACAGGCGCGATTTAGGACTGATCTCCCCCAGGGAGCGTCGAAGCCGCCTTAAGGTCTGCACCAGAGCTGTCGTTGGCCTCGTGAACCTTGAGCCGTATGGGGAGGGCGTCGAAACCGCAGGCGCGTTTTTCCATCCCATTCGCAAAAGTGCGCATTCATAGCTTATGTCCTGAAATATCCTATACTACTGAGCACTCTTGCGTGACCACTTGGCGATGCCAGTCGAGTTCACTATACCAATTAGCGACTCCCTCCACTACCTACTCTCGAGCCTCATATTAACAATACTAACAGAAGGGAGGCCGAACCGCGACAAGGTTATGTATCAACCAGAGACGCCCCTGAATCGAGGCTGTTGTCTATGCATACAACAATAAATTCTCGGCCAATGCCCTACTACCTATATCTCATACTCTAAGCCAACATCTTCAAGGCTGTATATTTGTAACGGGTACCTTACTCCAAGACGTGAGCCCTCGCACTTTCGCACAAGGACCAGGACCGACGTAGATGTGTACATGACCGTATCGGGATTCAGACATACTCCTGCCAGAGCGAGAAAGTTCACCCAATTTTTTTCTTCGAATATCACACCAGTCAGAGTCTCCAGGGTCCTCAGAACCTGCGTAGTAGCTCCTGTCATGAGAAGACGTCTCCGCGCTCCCAAGTAAGTCAACGATGATTGATCATCATCCAGGCGGCTAAGCACTGCCTGCGGAACAATCGGACAGGCGGTGCCACACTACTCTCCTTCTTGTTCATCATGCTATTGCAATACTTGGAACTAGTTACTTCTGAGATCGGCACCCGGTAGCTAGGTAAAGCACATGTATTGCCGTAAGGCGTTTGTAAGCCCAGATAGCACCCACTCAGAAGAGCTTGTCGTGATGATCGGAGCAAATATGACACAGCTTAACCTGTATATAGTGGCCTAGCTCAATGCGTATACTTTAATTCCTTCTCTGTTCTACCGTATGGAGGTATCTCAGGGTGCCGTCTATGGTGCTTTGGCTGCACTATTGGCCATGTACATTCTCCGATGGCGACGCAGCCCAGTGAGTTCTCTCTTCACAACGGCGCCTCATCCCTGCTGATCCGATTTGACGTACAGCTGTATCGGATCCCTACTCTTGGAGGGCCTTCTGATCCAGTGCTATCCTACTGGTCCGCGTTCATCTATCTCATCAACAGTAGGCATATTCTTAGAGAGGGTTACGAGAAGGTGCGCGTATACCCCGCTGAGATCTAGTCCATGACCTTATTCGCCTAAATAGTTCCATGGTTCCGCCTTCAAAATCGCTCTTCTCGACTCATGGATGGTAATTGTGAACGGATCAAAGCTCGTAGAGGAGATAAAGAGACGATCGGGAGAGGAACTTTCGGCGGTGGAAGAGACCGAAGAGGTATATATCCCACAATCCTGCTCTCCCCTTGCTTGATACTAGGCGGACCTTGACCAATGTTGCATATCCTCTAGTTCCTGCAGATCCAATATATTCTCGGTTGCGAGCCTCGCGACGATCCTTATCATGTCGACCTGATCAGCGGCAAATTGACCAGAACACTCTCCGCCATCCTCCCAGAGCTACTAGACGAGCTAAGGGTATCCCTGCCAGAGTATGTTCCAACCCATGATGATGGTACGTGATCCATGATGACGGGTATCATGATATGGTAAATACATCAATGAGGACTAAACACGTACCGTTAGAATGGGCCACGGTAGACGCCACTATGACTATGCAAAGAGTTGTCGCTCGCCTCAGTAACCGGGCCTTCGTTGGACTTCCCATATGTGAGTATCGTACAAGTTCATAACTTCTAAGCGAAGGTTGTTGTATTGACATTTTCAAAGGCAGAGACAAAGAGTATCTGAGGCTAGCAACAGCAGTAGCGATGGATTTCGTGAAAGACGGTTTCATTTTGAAGATGTTCCCTCAGTTCCTCAGGCCGTAAGCCATCTATTCTGCGTGAGTCTGCATGAGATCTGAGACTTGTCCTATAGAGTCGTCGCAATGTTGACAGGGAGTACAAAGCGTACAATACGTCGCACTCTACCCTACCTGAGGCCGGTTATCAGGGAGAGGAGGTCGCAGATCGCAGAACACGGTCTGGGACCCGACATGCCAGGAAAGCCGGTGCGTCGCAGTCTCAATTTCCTCCTGCGACATTCTTCGCGCGCGATTGACAATCAGTTATGTAGGGTGACATGCTCCAGTGGATTATAGAGCAGGCAGTCCAGAGAGAGGGGGACGATGAGTCGATTGTCACAAGAGTCCTTTTGGTCAACTTTGCGTCTATTCACACGGCGTCCATGGTAAGTCCCATTATATCCTCAATACCCTACAGAAGCAGTGCTCAGCAAGCAGAGTATCACACACGCCCTGTACCATCTTGCAGCAGCTCCAGAATACGCTGAACCTCTTCGCGAAGAGGTTATGTCGGTCACAGAAGCACATGGATGGACGAAGGCTGCCATGGGCAGGATGTGGAAGCTTGACAGCTTTCTCAAGGAATCCCAGCGGTACAACGGCATCGCATTAAGTAGGTGCATCCCGTTCGTATGATCTCTTTGTATTGCTAACTCCCTGATTCAAAATATCAATTGAGCAGCTACTATTGGACGAAAGGCAATCAAAGATGTCATTCTAAGTGACGGCACGGTCATTCCCGCAGGCACTAGGGTAGCCTCGAACACATACGGGATGCACTTCGACAACGCATACTACCCCGATGCTGACAAGTTTGATCCTTTCCGCTTTTTGAACATTCGGAAAGTCCAGGGCGAAAGCACAAAGCACCAATTAGTGAACACGTCGAATGATTACGCGGCCTTCGGTGTCGGACGACATGCCTGGTGAGTTCCCTGATACTCTCTCAGTATCTGCGTCCAGAGGTTATATCTCATGTCTATCACTCCCATCTAGCCCTGGGAGATTCTTTGCGGCCATAGAGCTGAAGGCGATGCTCGCGTACATTGTGCTCAACTACGACTTGAAGATGTCTGGGGATGGGGCACGCCCCCCGAACATGTATATTGGCCCCACTGTCCTACCGAGCATGAACGGCAAGATTTTGTTCAGAAGACGTCGGACAACAGGGACTTCATAAATCCGTATCCCGATACTATCTATGCCAGCCGACACGGATATCCGCAACAGTGTACTCCGGCTGTTTACTAGTGCTTATATGGGCAAACCTTTGTACTCTCGAGCGAGATCGGGTCGTTCGCGAGTGGGCAAATAGTCAACGGTGTATGGCGTACTTTCACGAGAAATATGTACAACAATCTCGGCCAAAACTCTGCACTGCCTGCAACCATCCCGCAGAATGAAGGGACGTCGAGACCTGAATAGCATCTCGGCTGTCCAGAGCTATTTTCCTGCAAGGAGACAGCGACAAAGCACTGGACGAGCTACCGGGGGTATCCAAATTTGGCAACATTATCAAGTGCATGTGTAGTGTGATCCAGCTGTCTATTTCAGTAGAGGACGTAAAGCATACGGCCGGCACAACGGTATGGGGAGTTCGCATGTCAGTATATTGAGGGCATCAGCGCGGCAATATATTGTGCATGGAATGAGACGCGTAGTATGAGATCGTTCAGGTCCAAAGCAGCGTATACACAGAGTAGTATGGCACGAGGACTTATGAGGTTCTGCATCGATGCGGAGGCGATATAGATGTCTATGTTACTTGCATGGGTGCGACAGCACCAGAATGGGCAGCACAACGGACACGGCATTCTTTGTGATAAGTGATTATGTATAGGTACAATGATTTGCTGTGTACACAATGGACGTCAATGAGTAGATATACAATGGATTAGCTGCTTAAGATGCCCATGTCTCGACGTCCAATGCTTTGTCTCCAAAGACAAGGTTAGCGGCATCCTTTGAACGCATCCATACTACCTCCAGGGTTCGCATACCCGTCGCGGCAGCATGGGTCATTGTGTGGATTAGAGGTATGACAAGACGGTCAACTGGAGACCATGCTAAAGCAAGGATAGGATCTTATGTCAACCCGAGATTCAAATGTGTTAGAATACAGAGTATGAGAACGAATCAGCAGTAAAGACATACTCCGTCCATGATGCGTCTGCAGTGGTCCTTCCCCCTCTGGGAGGGGTTTGGCGGCCATGATCGTAGTGCTACTATGGAGGATATGAGTCACACTGCTACATCCAGATACCTGAGACCTGAGCGTTGGAGAAGTAATCCACTAACCCGCCTGATGGACTGCTAGATCGCTGCGCCACGACTTCCATGTGCTGGGAACTGTCCCTCGACCGGACCACCGAGTCCATGTCGTCCAAGTGTAGAGGAGTTAATACCTTTGGGAAGGGTCCAGTGAAAGTGTAGCAGAGTGAGAACGAGGGATCCAGACGACAACGTGCACGGGTGAGCGGGTTTGGCTTGGCTTGAGTACGTTCGGGGGGAGATAAGGAGGTTTGTCACCATATGGAACGTATAAGCCCCGCAGAAACAGCACTTGCATCCGGAGAGATTGTCATCGAATCTTCTCCGCTTCATCAAATCACGACCCACCTGAGTTGCTTTGCGAATGTATCCGTCACAGCCTGTGCGACAGTGGCGCTTGCCTATTTCGTATCATACGGCTCTAAGAGCCATCGTAGCGGGGACACATCGTGCCTGGCCGCTTGTCAAAGAAGGTTCTTTGGTACAGCGCCTCAGTCGAAACCTTCCGCTACTTCCCATAATAAAGTTCAATGGGCGCTCGGCGTCAGAGAGGCCAGCATAGACATTCTGTGCCGCTCGCGTCAATCTCGGAACAGCGAAGGGTGCCCTGTCAGTCATGCCACCAGCAGGACCTTGTCCTCACTGCCTGCCTTATCCGAGCCGGTATGACATGGAGCATCGCACCCGATCCACATAATGACAGGAAGGAAGAATAGCTACCTCATAGAAGTGCAAGAACGTGCGTTAAATGAATGGTGGACCCCCCGAAACCAGTGTCTTTGAAGCGCAAATAACCAGGAGCTCCATTAGGCTACTTATTATATGGCTGTTCAGCCCAATGCTATTGAGGCGCGCGCTTAGGTCGCGCTCAACCAATGATGAAAGTGACAAATGGGATGGGCAGCAATACGCAGGGGAGCAACACGCCAGTAAACGGCACCAAGCACGGATGCATGTTTAATGTTCAAGGCCGGATGTGTCAAGATGGGCGATAGATAGGAGCATCATACCTCAACATCTAGAGCTCTCCTCGGGCTCACGGCGGCGTGTGGCTCGGAGAGTCGATGCCGGTTTGGCTTCTATTCCCGATCTATTTCCTTGGGCAGCGTGGGAAGAGTACCGCGTTGGCTCTCAGGGCCTTTCGAGTAGGGTGTCCTGACGCAAACGGTCAATGTCTCTTTTCGCTTTGCCCTGACTTTGACCCTCTCCTTTGAAGGCACAAAATATGGAAACGCCGAAAGGTCTAGTTATCGTGGTCACCGGAGCCAACAGGTGAGAGACATTCAGACCTTACTTCCTGGCCGCTCATGCGAAGTCTCCGTTAGTGGGGTTGGCTTCGGTATATGTCATCGACTTCTCGTTCAGCTCTCCACAGGTCACCCTTCCGACTCAAAGCCGTACTTTGATGTCTCTAAGCCTGAGCATGGTGCTCATGAAGTCGCGGCTGACGAATACGCTTTCTCTGCCGATGCTGGGGTGACCATAATCCTCGCGTGCCGCAGTCCTGCTCGAGGTCAGGAAGCGAAGACAAAGCTTTCTCGTCTCTTGGATGAACACATATCCAAGCTCAAGCGAGGGTCTCAGGAGCACGAGTATGCCAGCACATTTAGACGCAACGTCAGGCTCTCAGTTGAATTACTTGACTTGGCCTCGATCAAGAGCGTGTTGGAATTTGGCCAGACGGTCGCTAAGAAGTACGTCGCTCCGTCCATGTCTGAAATGTACAATGAATACAACATTTCGTCTCTGATTGCAGCTACGAGTACATCTCACATCTCATCCTCAATGCCGGTACCGCGACATATAGCCATCTCGACACTCTCCGCTTCATTGTGGATCTAGCGCGCTACCCAATGTTTGGCGCACGGAACCCCCGCGCCAACTTACAAGTCAGCGGAGTTATGAGTCAAGACAACCTAGGCTACGTGTTCCAGTGTAACGTATTTGGACACTATGTTCTTGTGAGTGACCCGAGCTGGCATCCCGCAGAACAAGCATTGATGCTCTGCAACACGCACAGTACCGCTCCGTCCAACACCTCCTCATCGCATATGCGAACGTGTCCAAGCTCTCAGCCAGAGTGTTGTGGATGGGATCGCTCGAAGCCGCTCCTCTCTTCGATCCCGAGGACGACTGGCAACTCACCAATACTTTACATTCATACCAGGGTTCGAAATATGAGCTTGAGCTCCTGTCGTTCGAGCTCGACAAGCGCGCTCTCAACCCCAAGCACGCTGATGTGGGGACGGCACTTGGTGACCTTGCTGGATCCCACGGCAAAATACGTCACCTGATTGTTAGCCCGGGCGTTGTCCAAACGAACATGAGCAAGACGCTGAACATCAAGATCCCGGGATACCTGTTCCAGGCAAGAATGCTACTTGGCATGGTGCGTCGTACTGAAATCTACGTGGATCCTGCCTGATTTGAGTACGTCTAGCTTCGCTTCTGTGGATGTACCCACATAATGAGTTCACTCTATGCTGCGGCTGTCGGACCTGTGCACGTTGCTCTTGCCCCCCTCAACTCCATTCCGACTCCACAGAACATGCCTCACGTTCGACCAGCGGACACTGGTTACCCACCTTGGCATGTATACTACGGCCAGACGACATCTGAGGCCCAGATGTGCCGGATTGGGTCGGAGAGTAATCGATGGGGGAAAGAACGACCGGGGATAGTTGCTGTCCCAGTCTGGGAGGCGTATCCAAATTTGAGTCAGACGTTGCTAGAGCGATTTGAGAGACTTTATCAGACTTTTCTGCAGGCATATGCTAGTAATTCTACTTAGAAGAGAGGCATGTAGATAGTGTGATGGTGTCTCCCCCAGAGAAATCAGTCGTCAATGCGCCCTATCACTATTCATGCACATTGACACTTTGCATGTTCAACCCGGATCCCTCTCCTATCGGAAAACCCGACGAGCCAACCCTTCTTGGGCGTGTAGTGATGTCTGTGTCTCAAACAATCTGAACATGGAATACTGCCGATAGTCAGAGGCGAAGTCCTTGGTAGGAGCAGTCGCATCAACGGCGCTCTGTACACTCGAGGTTTATCCTACGCGGCTGACCTCCTATACCGGAGTTGGTGAAAACTCGTAGGAGCCCGAAGTAAAAAATTGGTGGGAGGAGTTGAGCGACGTTGGGTGGGGATACAGCGACCTCGATCCGTATTTCATCAAGTCCAGGCCCGGGGATACTCTGAGCCATCCGGCGTCCCGATTTCGTGGGAGGGGGCCGTAAGTCTGATCTTATGAGCAGGCTCAAGCTTGGTGCAGCGCGCGCAGCCGAGCTTGTAGGATCGTCTCGTCGTTCACCTTCCGCCAGAAGTATAGTATACAGTACCCTCTTGGGCACAGGACTGTGATAGCGCATGTTGCGTGAGAGGTTGATGCAAGAAAATGTTGTATAGTGGTCAGACAGCCGCTCATGGGGCCGCCAAGAGTTGTCAACCGGCGAATGCAGCTTGACCACTACCCCATAGGATAGCCATGTATAGTACTTACTAACTGGGGGTCGGGATGTGGGAACGTGGTATCCGTGTATTGCACGCGTACAACATGGACGATCATGCCACCTCAACGAGTCTTCCCTCTCCTCATCTTTTCATCCTCATTCTCCTCATGCTTTCCGCCTTCATAGACAGCGTCCTACGCCTGTATAGGCCCCATAAGCAATATCTCCAAGGCGCTAGAGTGCTCCTCCTACACCAGATCCGCGAACCTAGCGTGTCTCACTTCCGCCGATTGTCATCGTACCACGCGGAAATCGCGGCATTCTCATCTTGTCAGGAAAATTTTCGTCTTGCGAATCTCAGAACAGGTTCTCGACATCGAAGACAATACGTAAGGAAAGTTCCGGACGGTCAGGACTGAAGAGAAGAGGCGAGCGTGAGGTGGACGGCGAAAATCGCAGCGAATGTATACTACGGTATACGGTGCCTCCAGCAAGGAAACCTAGGATGCATTCAGCATAGAGATAAGCATATACGCAGGCCAGGGGACATACAGTGCGTGATGAGATAACCACGGAACACCGTCATCGCGGCACCCAGAAGGCTGACAGCGAACCCGTGCTTGTCCCACTCACGTTCGCCGTGGAAGGAAGGATGATAGCCAAAGCGCGGGCGCGGAGCGGAGCTGAGGAGAGTATGGGCGAGAGAGTCTTGCACGGAATGTTACTCGCCAGACGAGATGGAGACGAGATATCTGCAAAGGGAACGATGGTGCAAACGAAGGACGTAGCAGCCAGTAGCGTTCGAACATGTTGCCCTGCGAAGTGTTCGCCCAGGACGACGCTGACTTGCATTTTCGTCGTGAGTGGTGGACGTGGTAATCTGGATGCGGAAGTGACTCATATAAAAAATCAATGGGGTCAAGATAGCTCGGATTTGGGACGCCAGCGTTGAACGCGAGCTAGGGGCGAGGGCGTGGCGGTAGGCGTTGATCGGGGATGGCCGGGAGGGAGGGGTAGAGCAATATGTCCGTCGCACTTGTCCCTATTGCTAGAAAGATCAGAGCTTGCATATTTGAGCAGAAAGGAATGAGGCGCGGAGGGCATACAGTCACGATGGATTTCGCTTTGGACTGGAGGGAAAATGAGACCCAATAAGTCCGTCATCGCTGCGGCGACCACTACTACTCCCAGGTTGCTTCCCGCAACCGCAAGGTAGTCCTAGAACACCAGACCTCAGAAGCAGTTTGTAATATCACAAGACCAACGGCGTGAGCAATCGCTGAGACAGTAAGAGATAGGACCTGCTTACCTCTGGCAGGAGGAGCGAGTACGACAAGCATGCTAATCCGCAACGATGTGTCCGTACGGTATGTCGGCCGTCACTATGCAGATCAGCGCGAGCGGGTGGCATGGAAATTTACGTGGCCTGAGTGCTGACGAGCGCTTGCACTCAATGCTCGGGCCGAACGTAGCATGGCAATATTCTGTTCAAACTTCGCGTCAGGGAGAATGGGTTGTCTACAACCACGACAAGCTCGCTCATCTCCTCGCCGGATGAGACTCGGATACGAACTCTGCTTCCTATAGCACGGTGCCGGCGATGAACGGCATTTCTGGGGAAGTAGCCAGCTACGAGGAGCTTGGCTGAAAGACTGGGATCAAGCCTGTCGGTCCTCCAGGTCAAGAGAGGAACAACTGGGGTAGCAGCGATGAGGCGGGTTCCAAGGTGAGGGACAGGGCAGATTTTGTGAGCATTAGGCATGCACGCGAAGGTGCATCCTGCCGTGGCGATCGTCTTGCGAACGCATTCCACACGGCTTCACGTAATTTACCAGAACGCACTCAACGTGCGACAGGCGGGAGAAAGACAGATGTTACTTACTGCGACTTGAATACCGTGATTAACCAAGCCGGAGTTCAGAGCGAGATACGCAATTGATCATGTGGATCCAGAACTCTATCCTAATTCGACGGGCTACAGAGAAGAATGAATGAGATCACCTTGAAGATGACATGGTAGCATACCTCGCTGGGACCGCACCGGCGCTCCAGGTTCGACGTCCTCTGCTCCTTCCGGGGGGTTGGACGGGCGCAAGGCGATACTTTACACTGCAGTATACGATCGGCGCCCCCTGAAGTCATCGCGTCAGCACAGCAGCTCTATGAAAACGCCACTGCTTGTGGCTCACCTTCAAGACGCCGCTCTGCACAGTGATATCTGTCGCTGGTTGATAGACATGTCAACTTCAAAAAGGCCGCCGCCGTGGATTCGGAGAAGCGCAGAAACAGGACAGAGCCTCGGAAGAGCGAAGGTCGTTCAATGTCAAGCAGTCTTCATAGACGCTCGTGAACTGACGGCAGAACGGTCTTAGAGGAACGTTGCGCTGCCTGAGACATGGGGAGCAGAGTGAATAGGAAGAACGCGTCATAAGTCGCACCTGAAGGGCAGTGGAATCGCAGACGATCAACTCGCGATATCTCATATACCCAGCTCAGGTCTAGCGGCCCAAACCTGCTGGTCATCCGCACGACGGGCAGCGTCCTGCGCCCGCGCTCGGGATCCCTTCGAGTGAAACGGAGGTCTGTTTTCGGGACAGTCGTAACTTTTCCCATTGCCGACGCGTGCCAAAGGGCGCTGAAGGGTCGGCAATGGGAAAGTTGTACTCGCTCAGAGGTTTTACAGCCCTTTGACAAAGAACGATTCGAGGCGGTGCCCATAGTGCCATTGTGCCCCAGCAATTGAAACCGGAGCGCAGCACTAGATCGCATTTTAGGTTGACTGAGAGCATGAAGTAGCCTATACATCAGCCCCTTGCAAGATTCTAACTTCATATAGATTGCCTAACCGGCTCGCTGCGAGTGTTTAACAGGCGTACCATGTCACTCAAAACACTATCACTTGTTCTAGGGCACTCATTCATCGCTATTCAGCAGTGTCTATCTACTGAAGAGTTCTCTAGGCTATGCTATGTAAAGCATCTTCTCTGAGGAGAGGAGCGACGGCGGCAACGACGGGAAGATTTGATGGACCGAAGGGCCCGTTTGACTCCAATGTGAGGTGGGGACAATCTCAAGAGCCAGCCACAACAGTCGAAGAGACGAGCACGCAGTGTTGAGCAAACAGGACAAGCAGGATAGAGGAGGACACAGCTACAACATAATCGTTGGAAGAGAGCATCGTTTTCGGACAAAAAGGTTAGAGAAATCCCGTCGACCGGCTCTCTCCGAAAAGGCGCCTATCAGTTGCCTGGCGGACACGGCGATTGCCATCACCCACGGACAGACTCGAGACTCGCAGCATCCCAGCTCTCTGTGTGTACGATGTACATCCCTTCGATACCTTGAACTTGGGGCTATGGTGGCCGTCTATCATGAGAGATTCGCGGCCCAAGCGGTCCCAGAGCGGCGAAGGATGTCACCGAACACGAGTCTCTCGCCGCTCAGAAGGCAGCGGCCTTGTGGCGGCAGCGCAGGTGGTCAGGTTATCAACGCTTCTCGCTCCACAGAGAGAAGTTTAAGGTCTTTTGAGGCATGTACTATCATGTTCATCTTTACGACATCTCTACATCCGCCTAGCTCACATGGGGACCATAAGGCACATGTGATCCGATCTGTCAAGGGAAATAGCAGACGGTGGAAGTAGAATCGTTGTTGGTGTATAAACCCATGAGGCCGCACCCTTCTTCCACGTCACGACGAAGAGAGCTGGACGCGACGTCTGTACGGCCATCCTCACTGCAGAGCGGGCGCTTAACTCTTCCTGCAAGTAGAATAGGACATCAATATGGGCGTTGGCATATACGAACTCTTTGAGCAATTTCCATTCCCCAACTCCTTCATAATCAATTTGGCGGCAGTCACTGTTGTTTCCAGTGTGCTCCGACGAAGGTGGATTCTGTTACACAAGCTGGAAACTCATATATGAGTCTGTATCCGCTGTAAACGTCCCGGTGTTAGTAAAAAAAGTCTCTATCATCCTGCAAGGATCAGATGTGGTTCGTGGAAGCCCTCGCCCCGACTGCAATTCAACTCACGATGGGGCAGAAACCATCACTTCTCTAGGAATTCTAGAGGCTTCGGCCTGTCATGTCAGTTAAGCTCCGTCTGTTTATAACCAAGATTTTCACGGGAGAATTGAAGCTCTTCATATAGCTCTTCGCCATCTAATAAATGAAAGGAAAAATGAGGGAGCAGTTGTAAATGATTCTGATACCCATCCGATTCACGGAAACTCATTTTCGAAGCCCTTTGCCAGCGGGGCTTATGACATGCGACGCTTTCTTTGCAGACGCTCAAACCACTACAAAAGCCGCATTGACATCTGAGTTACAAAAAGAGCTGCGGACACTTTCCCCCTCATTCCTACTAAGTTCTAAACCCGACGTTCACCGCCATAGCAGCTTCGAGTTACCATATGGCCCAGTCCGCCGAAACATCGTTTGCCGAAGTTATCGGGGACTTGATCCTCATGACTTTGTGTACCGGCATTCTTATTCCAATTACTATCCAGCTATTTGTGTTGCGATCTAGAATGTGGAGGTCACCAATATTCATCGCCAATATATGCTCTCTTTCGATGGGATTTGTCTTTGGCGGTCTGGCTATTGCATTTCTGGTGAGTGAGTCTTTGTACAGGGTCTCCCTGCGCTTATGCCAGGCAGCGGGCAGCAATTTTGGGAAGATCCGTTCCTTCCAAGATCGTACTTGCAATCAGTATCATCAATTTCCTGATCCCCGTCACCGTCTCAGTTGTCCTGTTCATCCGACTTCTTGCCGTCTATCCTCCGCGCACTCTCAGCAAGACAAGACTCGTCCTAGTCTATGCTCCATTCCTTCTCGGATTGCTCGCGCGTTGCGTAATGGCAGGCCTGATCTGGTGGAAGACAGTAGCAGGCATCGAGGACTCAGAGACCTCACTTGAGTTATGGCAAGTCACATGGACTCTGCCGTACCCCAAAGTCGAATGGGGTCTTGAGCTCTTCTGTGACACGTAAGAATGATTCTAATTACTATCCCAACGCTTCGCACTGACAGTACTACTCCCAACGAAGATATGCATCTATGCTCTTTCTACTCCGGTTGAAGCGAGCCCGCATGTTCCGTAAATCCTCGACGGGTGTGCTTAGCACCATAGGACCAGACGGCTCCAGTATGTAATTCATTTCTTAAGAATTTGGAGTTACAACTCACGGGGATGCTGGTATCTTATAGGGTCGTACTCCACCTGTCTCCGCAACCTATTCTGGATCGCATCCTTCAACTTCGTCGGTCCTGTCATCATGAACACTATTCTCATTATTCTCGCCTTCCGCGACCCCAATCGCTACCACGGAGCGGAAGTATTTTTCGCCAACGGCTACCTGGAGATTGTTTGCGTGCTCCTTGCTACGATCTGGTGCACAGGGACGAGCTGGGACAGTGCCGAATCGGTGTCCGCCGGTGGTCCCACGCCGATTGTGTTTGCGCCACTAACCTGCGAATCGCAGAGTCTAGACAAGGACGGCTCTCCGGGAGACCTCGGTGCATGATAGTAGCTAGCCATTCATGTTCGCAAATTCCCAGAAGACGGGTAGGCGTGGACAAAGCACACTTAGAGTGGATCCGGCTCAGAGGAACGTTTCGAGAAGGGATTTCGGTACATTTGTATGTCCGTACGTCCTGATAATTACCACAAGATGTCCATGCATCATTGCAAATGCAAATAAGCGGAGACATATACACGACGCCGCCTATCAGCCGTCCGAGCGAATGATGTTCTAGTGAACCATCGAGTCTCACGTAGACGTATGAGATGTAATGACTTACCATTTCGTGGTAGGTTTATATGCCGACTGAAAGTGACTCTGTGAGTGTCAACCAACCTCCATTGAGCAAGCCGAGCCTAGGTACCTGATATGCACTGCAGTACCCACGTACACCGTCTGTGCTAACTTCAGTGTCCTGCGGCAATTTGATTGCGAGGGCCCGGGAGGCCAAGTGGTTGTCAGCGAGGACACGAACTATTCTACCTTCTCGTAAGACGAGAAAGAGCAAGATACGGAATCTGTGTTCGTTCGGCACGATCTTCAGGGAGCGAAGAGCTTGCATGGACGGCCGAGAATTAGACTCCTCGGTTCGCGCGTCCCTAAGTATGACGCTCAGCTCTCAGTATACTCCAGCTCTAGATGGAGAGTGGGCGGACCATTCAGTGGGTAGCCGTTGGACGTTGTGCGATGCGAACTTCACTCCATCGTGCACCATTGAGTATCTTTCGCAGGGCTGTACAGTCGCTTTTCATGGACGAGCCATTCACCTCTCATCAGACTGTCGATTATTGGTGGTGAATCAGTCTTCTGATCCATCGCTGCAATGGCTGCGGCATAGACAAAGGAATATACGGGCTGACTTTGATTGAAGTATTCGAGACCTGAAAGGGCGGTTACCTCATCACGCCAAATACAATTCCTAGTCTAAACATCAGGTTTGCATGCACGCCAGCAAGGTACACATTCTGCAACGACATGTTGTACCAGCATCCAGTCCGTCAAGCAGGTTGTCCAGCCCGCACATCTGGGTGGGGAGGCCTGTCAAAGTCCGAAGCCCTCGACGACGCCCAAGTGCCTCGCGAAGGAGCGCCCGAGTACCGCGCGGTCCTCCTCAGGCTACTAGGTAGGGTAGCACACGCCCGTGCCGTTCGTAAACGATGTAGTCGGGCTCCCGAATGCAGCTCCCAGGAGTGTTTCGCTCCAACCGGACGTCGAACGTGACCGTTTTCTACGCGGGCACACGTGGCCCCCCGAGTGCCACAGCGCAAAGTCTTGCTGGCGTACAGCGGCCTGTACTGCTGGGCGCTCTCAGGGTCGCGTAACGTGGCTTTGCGCGCCAGGGTGGAGGCACACTGGCGAGGGCAATGATTCGGCTTAGACTTCGCCAAGCCCCAGGTGTATAGCGGCCACTGGCCCGACGTGATCGTCCCCTGGAAAACGGAACCGTAAGCTCGCGTTTGTCGACCTTGGACTGCAGCGCGACTGGCACCGAGAAGCGCGCAGACACGATGAGGCCGAGAAGTAGAGAGCTACACGTCGATCTTGCACGCTTCTATGAGGGGCTGGCCAATGTCGGTCGAGGCAATACGGTGGACGGCGGGATATGGTCACGAGAGGTCAAAACGATGCCGCTGCGTGCCAGTATGTCAAGCTTAGGGACGCCGGCCCACGCGTTGGTCTCGTCAGTGTGCTGTGCAGAACGGTCGGAAGGGGGACGCTCCTTAATCTCGTACCACCACCTGTGGCGACTTTCCCACGGTCGTAAGCCAATAGGAGCGGGCTACGACGTGCGGTCAGTTACTCTCTGGGCGACATACTAGCGTACAAAACATACTTTAAGAACAACATAGTGATAAAATGCCACCGGAACCTAACAGACGAGGTGCGACAGCATCGCCACTAGTTGCTACGCGAGCGAAGAAGACACCGGCTACCCATCCGACGGGTGCATCGTCTACCAGGCACCTCCGGTCGACATCCACGGAGTCCTTTGTAGAGGCATCGGAGAAGATCCAGTCGTTGGACGACGCCATGAAGATACTACGCAAACACCAGATGGTCCCTGCCGCAGGAGACCCCACAGCTGAGGGACTGGTCACAGGACTCCAACACGTAGGAGTGAGTCTCGGAAACGTTGCTTGGGCGTCCGAGTGCTGCATCGCGCTAGCGGTCTACGCTAAGGCAGTCCTGGATAACGCGGTGAGTAGTT